TTACCTTTATCTTTATCAACATTGTATAGACATTTCTTGCAGGCATTTATCCAGTTGCTTTCTGTAATGAAGGTGTTACTGTGACCTTTAACCTTTGTAATGGTTCATCTTCAGAGGGTCGCTCACTTTCTTCAAATTTCTGTTTCATCATTTCAGGCTTAGGCTTTTCTTCTACCTGTATTAGTGAACATAAAACTCATTTCTGTTCCAAAAATCATAAAGAAACCTACTGATTATTAACCTTTACCAAGAAAATTTTGGACATGTGACAAGCTAAAAATGGCCTCAGGTCGATCTAAGGGTGACTAGTAATTGACGCTGAAAAACCTTATACTCTATCTCAATTCATTGAGAGGTTGCAGCACTTTGAAATCAGTTTTGATGGGAAAAAAAAACAATGCAAAATAGTGATTTCTGGCAATTTTGAGACGTCCCCCCATTGCCATGGTAACAGGAAATTTACGATTGAGCATGCTGTTACAGAGGCTATGGTCTAGTCAACATTTGTGCCAAGTTTCATCAGTATTGAAGCATTTTTCATAGCAGTTTGAACTTGTAACAGGAGGCTTTTCAATGAAAACACAAAATTCTCATGGGGTGAAAGGTTAAATTGTTCAACATATTCCTTATGGCCACAGCCTGTTGAGCTTCAAAAACTTTTCCTTTGAAGATTAAATGGCTTTCAACTTTTAACTTTCAACTCCTAAATTTAATGGGCATACACTGATTATTACTTTATCAGTTTCATGTCAATGAAGTAGTTTTTTTAACAGAACATTAGTGATTGATATGTGGTTTCACATGTTAATGTCTACTCTAGAATCATACAATGTAGATATTTTAACAAGTCGCCTCACATATGTAAAATCTTCAAAAATAATTTACCTCTACAGGTGTATCTGGTATATCTACAGCTGGTTTAGGTTTTTCTGGCTCCTTAGGTTTCTCATTGCTGTGCTGACCAGATGTACAACCCTATATAATAGAAATGTACAACCGTATACAAAAGAATCATACAACTGTATACAAAAGAATCATACAACCATATACAAAAGAAACACACAACCATATACAATAGATACATACAACTGTATACAATAGGAACATACAACTGTATACAATAGGAACATACAACCGTATACGATAGAAACATCAATAGAAATGAAAACTCATTATTTTCTAATCATTCCAAACAATAAATCTTATTTTCTTTAAGAGTGTAAATGGCTGGCCTAAAAAATATTTAAATCAAATTTATTTGTATTAAATATATTTATAGTAGAAGCTAACACTCAAATATGGTCCCTTACTTATTCAGTATTATTGAACCTATCAAGCACAATTTAAACAAGAGGGCCATGATGGCCCTGAGGTAGCTCACCTGTATATAGCCCCCCCCGGGCCAATTTTTACCCAAGGGCTTTTATTTGAACAGACTTGGTAGACACTCATAAGAAGATGTTTCATGCTAAACATCTAAGTTCTAGCTCATTGGGTTTTTTAAAAGAAGATGTTTTAAGTTTTTACTATACACATATAGTTAAAAACAATGACACCCCTGGGGCAGGGCCAGTTTTGACCCCCGGGCTTTTATTTGAACAAACTTTGTAGATATTTACTTAAAAATGTTTCATGTATAATATCTAAACTCAAGCTATTTGGGTTTTTTCAAAGAAGATTTTTAAGTTTTTGCTATACACATATAAGGAAAATCAATGACCCCCAGGAAGGGCCAGTTTTGACCCCAGGGCTTTTATTTGAACATACTTGGTAGACACCCATTAGAACATGTTTCATGCTAAATATCTTAGCTCTAGCTCTTTGAGTTCTTTAAAAGAAGATTTTTTAAGTTTTTACTATATGCATATAGGGAAAATCAATGACCCCCTGGGGCGGGGCCAATTTTGACCCCAGGGCTTTTATTTGAACAAACTTGGTAGACACTCATTAGAAGATGTTTCATGCTAAATATCTTAGCTCTAGCTCTTTGGGTTCTTTAAAAGAAGATTTTTTAAGTTTTTACTATATGCATATAGGGAAAATCTATGACCCCCTGGGACGGGGCCAATTTTGACCCCAGGGCTTTTATTTGAACAAACTTGGTAGACATTCACTAGAAGATGTTTCATGTCAAATATCTAAGCTCTAGCTCTTACGGTTCTTTAAAAGAAGATTTTTTAAGTTTTTACTATATGCATATAGGGAAAATCAATGACCCCCCGGGGCGGGGCCAATTTTGACCCCAGGGCTTTTATTTGAACAAACTTGGTAGACACTCACTAGAAGATATTTCATGTCAAATATCTTAGCTCTAGCTCTTTGGGTTCTTTAAAAGAAGATTTTTTTAGTTTTTACTATATGCATATAGGGAAATCTATGACCCCCTGGGGCCGGGCCAATTTTGACCCTAGGGCCTTTATTTGAACAAACTTGGTAGACACTCATTAAAAGATGTTTCATGCTAAATATCTTAGCTCTAGCTCTTTGGGTTCTTTAAAAGAAGATTTTTTTAAGTTTTTACAATATGCATATAGGGAAAATCAATGACCCCCTGGGGCGGGGCCAATTTTGACCCCAGGGCTTTTATTTGAACAAACTTGGTAGACATTCACTAGAAGATGTTTCATGCCAAATATCTAAGCTCTAGCTTTTACAGTTCTTTAAAAGAAGATTTTTTAAGATTTTACTATATGCATATAGGGAAAATCAATGACCCCCCGGGCCGGGGCCAATTTTGACCCCAGGGCTTTTATTTGAACAAACTTGGTAGACACTCACTAGAAGATGTTTCATGCCAAATATCTTAGCTCTAGCTCTTTGGGTTCTTTAAAAGAAGATTTTTTAAGTTTTTACTATATGCATATAGGGAAAATCAATGAGCCCCTGGGGCCGGGCCAATTTTGACCCTAGGGCCTTTATTTGGAAAACTTGGTAGACACTCATTAGAGAAGTTTCATGCCAAATATCTAAGCTCTAGCTCTTACGGTTCTTTAAAAGATGATATTTAAAGATTTTTCTTTCGGTTGCCATGGCAACCAGAGTTCTGCATGAAATGGAATTCTTTGAACAATCTTGATAGAGCTTCATACAAAGAGTATTCCTGCCAAGTTTCATTAACATTGGCCTTGCGGTATCATAGAAGATGTCCTTAGAATATTTAAAATGTGGACGGACGACGGACGCCATTTGGTTGGCCATCCTAAAAGCTCACCTGCACTTTGTGCAAGGTGAGCTAAAAATTTATCAATTAAAGCTTAGTTTTGATATCATGAAATAAATACATGTATCTAACTAACAGGAAAGTTGAGAAATTCTGTAAAATCTGTACTTCTTTTCTTACAGCAAGACCAACCCTTTAATGCATCATGGAACACAGGTACACCAGGATGATAATGGCAAGAACCTGAAAAATAAAAATAAACATATGCTCTATATAATATATTCATACATTTACATATAACTTCTACATTTTCAGCCAATGAAATTACTTGAAAGTAGTTGGCTAAGTTCTAAGTTACAGCACTTATTGAAGAATATTTACTTCATGTAGTGTTTTGTTTACTACTGTTACTGTAAGGTATTTGGAGATGTAACTGCAGATTCAGTTTTATGAGGGCTGTTCCAAAAGTGTGTGACAAAAATTATAACCAGTAACTGAGTAAGCCCAATCAGGCAAGTTAAAATTTTATTGATAATTAATAATTCTAATCGTTAATTTAAATAAAAAATGAAACAAAACAAGTCCCAAATGTTTATCTACCGTGTACACTTCACAGGCGAGTAATATAGTTTACACACTGTCTTTACAAAGCAGTGACTTATTTTCCTTGATATTGACCCTGAATATCGCCCTTTTCACAAACGCCAAAACATGTTAAAATTTCACAAAATTTCAAAAATGTGAAGAAAATTCACAATTAGACTCAGTGGACATGATCAATTTTATTGTAAAATTACACCCAAGAAATTAAACTTGCCCCGTATGAGTAATATTTTCCGTTGAAAAATATCACCAGACACTCTTCTTGTAAAATGTCATATTTTAAGCTAGGGAGCAACCATTAAACATAACAATAACAACATAGGTCATAGACCACCAAATTAAAAATTTTCTTAGGATAATGGACACGTCGTCGATCAGCTAATTTTGACATGATAATGTAAAAAAATATTTAAACTAGTACTTGTATGACAAAATTTGGAGTTTATATTTAAAAGAAATGTGAATAAAATAGAAATGAATTATTTGAGATCCTTGACTGGGATCCATGCCTTTATCACCTCCACGACTGATAATAATCTCTCTTGCAACATTTTTTAAAAAATAATCTAGAAAGAGGACAGCCTCTTGATGCCATGAATGTTGCATAATTTATCAGAATTTGTTCATCCGCAGGCTTTAACATACACTCTTCCCCAAATTTTGTAATATAACCCTTGTATTTCCCATTGAATTGGTTCTGTACAGTGGTGTAAGGAAGGCCTAATTCAATAGCTGCTTTACGTATGGAATAGCCCTGGGTCACAAGACGTTTTGCCTCCCTATATATTTGATCTGGGTGGGTCCTCTGAGACCTAGGCATTGCTGAAAATATATAATTGAGTGTCACCAAAGGGGAAAAATATGGTGGCGTTAAACCAAGGGGGGAAAAAAACCAGTAAAATATAGTGGTTTGTAGCCTATGTGTTTATATATCCTTTAATTTACTACTTTTTTACTTTTGATATTGTGGACAAAATGTAAAAATATCTAATTATTCTTAGGAAAGCAGAAAATATGTATTTTTGGCAAAATATGCATATATTTAGCATCTTTTCTTAATGGCTGATCCCTGACCTAGATTACTGTAGGAAATTGACACACCCCCTTCCTGGGAAAAGAGCTAAAAGCTTACTTTATTTTATTATGTAGAAAAAAATTGTATAATTATCAAAAGTAGTTATTTTTTTTGTCATTTTTATATATTTTGTATAAATATTAGGGCTAAGGAGAAAAGATGCCCGTACTTTTTTATTGTGTAATTTCTACTTTCACTTCGCCATTGTTTTTAGAATCGTCTGCTGTGGGAACTTTGACCTCACATAAATACTCTTCAGTGGGAGTTTAGTAAAGTACTTACATGTGTTGGAAAAACAAAGCAAAGAAAGTTCGTGTTTTATCAAGTTTATTTGAAAAAGATACAAAAAAACAAAATTTTGATCGAGGACCTGGCTGATCGAGGACGTGTCCAATCACTCTAGCGGTATTGTTTTGAAATTTTTAGTACCAAATAAAATTGCATAAAATGAGTGATATTGTCAAGCGTGAAGAATTTATTTGTCTAAAAGTACCATGAGCTGTATTCCGTAGCATTGCATTTATCGATGCCGACCATAGTCAAATAACTGTGCACACTCAGTTTGCTCAGTTTTTATTCCTTTTGTCCCCAAGTGACCTCTTTCTGACATTATCTACCCCATTCCTTGTATCTTTCCCATTGCTTATAGCTTTAAAACAGTGGGTAGAGTTAATTCTTGTCAAGTTGGCCCGTGCTGTGTTATTTTAGGGCCGATTGATTTCGTGCCAAGTTGACCCGTGCCGAGTTGGTTTAAGGCCGAGCTGACACTTTAGTCTTTATCAGAATTCAGAATAATTTTCAATAAATCTGCTACGTCTAGAAAATAATGACTCACCAGATTCATTTTTCGATGGATCATACTTCGATCCACATCCCTTATTATAACACTGAAGCATTTCTTCCATTGCTATATTAAGAAAGAGAAAATCACGTTTTTTCTGGAAATTTCTTCGGCTCACACTATCAACTTCCGTTTTTATTAACCGGTGACTTTGTAAACAATTACTCGTGAAATTGTTTCTAAGGACCCAATCGACTTTTAACTACAGAAAAGACATCTTTTATACATGAAATCTGAATCACATGGAAAAGTGATGTCCAAGCTTTACTACCGTTTATTTAGATCAGAGTTTGTATTCGAAGATTATTTTAACATACTTTATTGGCAACTCTCTTCAGCTTTGTTAAAAATTAAGATGTATGAATCATAAAATGCCAATTGAGAAAGGTAGATTCGTAAATATAGAGAGAAATTTACGCACATGCACTTAATTCATGTGAGTCAAACCAACCGGGTGACCAATTTCACTATCTATTTTATTTTGTTAATAGTAGACGTAAATTTAATAAACCGTATTATTATAGATATCCTAATGCATTGAAGTTTGAAGATCTTATGAATAGCAAAAACAGATCACATTTAAAAAAAAAACTTGCTTTCTTCTATATAGAAATAATTATTACAACTTGTAAATAATAAGTATAGTGCTGTATCATTAGTCTCCTAGAAGTTTTCATATTGAGCATAGATTTCGGTTAATAATCATATTTTTTTATTCTACGGGTACAATAAATTATAATTGTCACTAATTCTCCTGTTTTTATGTATATAAAAATCAAATCAACAGAAGTGGGAAGCTGGCCTAGTGATTTGATTGTGACCCTAGTGAACCGAGAGGTCGAGGTTTAGAGCCCTGCTGGGATCACGACCATGTTTCCTAAAAATGATTCCGAACTTGTCAGTTCCAGAAAGCAGACTTGAAAGTGATACAAATAAGCTGAACGCTTTCTTCGTATTCGAGCTTAGAATAGTATTTCAATTAAAATGACAAAAACATTATGCGTATTAGACATTAAATTAATATTTTATAAGTATTAACACACATGCATGTAAATAAAATTTGATTTTTAATCCGACTGATATTATTTTATCGACTGATTTAATTCCTTTGCGGAATAATCTGATGTGACTTTGTTATTGATGATAAATTATTCTTACTCTATAATATATTACCTCAGGAATTCCGATCTGTAACCTTAGGCTGAGCATATTCATACACCCCTACTCCAAAAAACAAAAACAACAACAAAAACAACAACAACAAAAAAACGGGAATATCATCATCATCATCATCATCATCAGCGGCAGCAGCAGCAGCAGCAGTAGCATAAAAGTTTAGCCCCTGTCAAAATGTGTGTTTTTTAATTATTTTTAATACAAATTTAAAAAAATGAAGTCACGGTACTTAACGCTTGGGACTTACAGTACTAAAATTTTCATAAGCTGTAACATATAGCATTATAGGTATTTCTGTTGTAAGAAACAATGAAACAACAAAATATTCAGTCAAAATCAGTTTTAATGGGCCAGACGTAAACCGTTTGTCGGCCAATTTGAAAACAGAGTGTCATCATTTAGTAAATGGTGGTGCACTTCAGTTTTTTCATGTTTCAGTTAAAATTTCTACATGACCCTGTTCTTTTGCTTAATTTAAAATATTAAAACTATCTTTACTTTGTAACTCGAAATTAATTGTTTAAACAAATAAGAACATGTAGAAAATGATGATTGTTTCAGACGTATGCACAAATTTAACGGACTATTGTTGCTTTTTACAGAAATTTGTAAAATGTTGTTCTGTTTTACGTAAAAATCTAGAGATTTAATTTTTTTTTGCACAAAAACTTTGTTGTTTAGGTGTATGAATAAAATATGTCAAACACTGGTCATATGAAAATATGCCATTACCGTGAATTAAGTGATGACGCGGAATTAGTGATGTTGAGTATATATAGCATTATGAAATTTCAACAAAACGTACGATAATTTTTTAAAACTATACTTGAACTAAACAGAAATATGCTTTTATTATTTTCATAGATCTACACTCTATATCTTGTAAAAATCAATGTATCCGCCAAACATGTAATTGTTCAAATAATAAGCCACCTAACATTTGTCAAAGTAAAATATTTGCCACTTATTTCTTCCTGGTCAACTTCAGATTCATGAGATCAGTTAGTACATGTCTATGACTATGAACAATCAATCAATATTTTAAAGACACATGCTCACTTTTGCTGTTAGTGTTGTTGTTGTTGTTTGATATTGGATTTTAACGATAAAATGTTTTATGTTAAAAGTGATCCAAACTTGAATCAATATAGCTTATCTTTAACTAATTTATTCTAGGTCGATTCTGACGAAAGCTTGAACCTTCTTTGAAGCACTTTTGAGTCTGGCTTCCTGGTGTCACATAAAGAAATATGATCGTGACGCAAGTAGGACTTGAATCCACAGTCCTTGGGTTGAGAAATGTTATATTTATTTCAAATGTAAATCATTTAAACCTCGGGGTTCTTTTTTTTTTCCCTTTTTTTCCATATTCTACAAAATGAAAAGTTTTTCCGGGTTTTTTTTTTTAAATGGAAACCTTTTTTAAGTTTTAAAAAAACCCCTGAAAAATCCCATTTATTTTTTCCAATCTAAAATTAAATTTTTTAAATAAACACTATTTAATTAAAATTTAAAGTGTTTAAAAACCAAAAATATTTTTTTCTTATATGGGCGCTTGTTAATGTTTTTTGAAAATAGTAGACCCTAAATATATAAAGTTTGGTTGGGAAAAGATGGGGCCCTTTTTTAAACAATTTTTGGTTCCCTTTTTTATTATTTTTTTTAAAACTTATTTCTTTTTAGATAATAAAATAATTTTTAAGATCAAATATATTATATCTTATTTAAAACCTTTTTTAAAAAACCCCCGGGGGACAAAATGCTGACTGCTGTAAATATATATTATTATACTTTTTTTCTTTATTTTAAAGGAACTCCATTGAGGTCCAAAAGCTTAAAAACTAAAATATGAATTTCTTACATAGATCAGTTTGTGCACTTTAAAAAGACAGCTGTGCAAAAGATAATCAAATAATTTTTTTTTTGTGCAATTCTAGACGTTCTGAGCGGGAAAGCTTTGCACAACGCTTTTCTATTTTGATCATTTTTCAAAGTTACAATACTTATTCAGGAAAAAAACGGAGTGAGCGATTGATCTGAAAATTTGCACATAAGTTATTGGTCTAGATCTACATCAAATGGAACATCAATCTCGAAAAAGTATTTTCAGTCCTGAAAAAAACAAACAAACTCAGCGGAGTCCCTTTAAAGTGATGAATGAGCATAATATGGTAAATAAATGATGAAAATACTGCTTGTACTCTGGTTTATTTTTTTTCCAAATGTATTTAAAGGGCAGCAAAAAGACTTAAATCTAAATGTGTCAATACAATGTAAATTTTTAAAACATTTCCCCGATACCCTTTTATTACAATATGGGCTATAAAGAAATATGTAAACAGTTACATTTTTTTTCTATTTAAACAGTTGTTTGCATTAAAACTTTTAAAAAGAACCCATTTCTTTCAAACCCGAAATAAATGTTTTGAAATTTTTTCTTCCCAGTTTTTAAAAGAACATTTTCAAATCTCAAGGGATTTGATACTGTCCATGAACTATATTATGTAGTTAAGAGGTAACTGCATGACCAATGAAATAATGGGATATGTTTAAATCAATGACTATAAAATTCCCCGATAAACTTCCCTCCTTGGATATAAATTGAAAAAACGCACACAAGGCTTTGAACGAACTGCAGCGCTTTAAATCACCACCTCTTTATGAAAAAACATTTCTATACCCCTCTATGGCAAATTGAAACTACCCACCATTAATTGAGCCGCGTCATGACAAAACCAACATAATGAGTTTGCGACCAGCATGGGTCCAGGCCTGCCTGCACCTCCGCGCAGTCTGATCAGGATCCATGCTGTTCGCTTACAAACCCTATAAAAAGTAGAGAAACTGATAGCGAACAGCATGGATCCTGAACAGAATGCGCGGATGCGCAGGCTGGTCTGGATCCATGCTGGTCCCAAACCCACTATGTTGGTTTTGTCAAGACGAGGCTCATTTCTTTTTGCGACGGACGCGCCCTCAGGCGCGTTCAGAGCTAAGTCATCTACACATGGGATTTCGTCTGCTACACTCGCGCAAAGTGTCCTCAACCGAATAACAGCCCAGAAATAGTACATGAATTTGATCCTTTAAAACTCACATACTTTGTCGGGATATCTTAAAATCTTCCATATTTAGCCTTTTCAATTTCAAATTAAGTTATCCAAGTAAAAATATGAACGTATTTGATTGATAAAAACGTTGTAGTTCCGTAGTATTATTGCGCAATATGCAAATTACTGCCGAAACGATTTACAGCTGTCGAAAAAGTAGGACAGCAAATCATACTATAATAAAGGTGTAAGCTCTGAGTTCCAAGAAATTATTAGTATGAAATTAATATTTCTACATTATACAAAACATTATTATTAACAAATCAAAAGTTTTTCGTGTCTCTAGAATAACTCGCGCATTAATAAAAGAAGAACTATTTTCGTGACTCATACCGCAGTTTTAGCTGAATATTCAGCAGTTATTAATAAATTAGATACAGTATAATGGTTAGTATAAATATCTATTTTTGAAAATGCATGTAGCAAGAGAGTTTTTTCAACACTTTACTACCATGTAGTCTTTCATGGTAATCTTTATTGAAGGAAGTTATAATATCAGTTCTACTTCCGATTCTTGTGGTTTGTTTACATATTTTTCTAGGTCACAATAAGAGTTAACATTCGCTATTCTAAAAATAGATTCTGCTTCACCTGCAGGCGTTTAGGGGGTACACATTATACATGTAATAAACCAGCGGATACTTACTTTGCTTACATGCAATACTTACAATTGTAAGAAGCAAACAAGTTGAAAAATGGAATTTAGTGTGAAATTGAAAAGGACAGCTTTGAACGCCGCCTTTCCTTGTTGATCTTGTTTTTCATATTTTAACTGACATTTAAATTAAAATAAAAACGATGTGATCTGGCCTCTACATCTATGTATGTTTTATTGTCTACATGCCCACTATGATATAACACGATCAATTCTAAATAACATTCTCACATGTATAATGTATTATGCTTGAAGTTAATTTGCATGGTTTTATTTTAGAAATATTTCGTTGACCGTTTTTTTCTATTTACATATCATTCCTTGGAAGAAATCGATAAGGACACTGATTTACAAGTTTGACCAGTGTTTTTATGCATAAATTTCATTCTTTATAAGTAGAAAATCTGACTTATATCAGATTGGACACATAAAATATATTGCTCTACAAATCTCGAACTTGTATAGAACAAATTTTCTCTGTTATATCTTTTGTGTTTTTTTTTTCTAAAAATCCGGTTGCATGTCCGTCGCATTCAGTGCTGCAGCACTTTGATTTTGAATGTTGTGCGTATGATGACGTCAGTAGAACACTCCTACTAAAGTTGCAAGACTTTAACACAAACTTTCATACACTTTTCTATGATGACCCATCTCTTACATATCAGGACAATGTGAATATACTGGCACATTTACAAAATTATATAGAACAAACAAAGATTTATTTCGACGCATTCTTAATGTTACTACAATCCTCTCTTTTCCTCTTTTTTCTTCTCTCTCTTCTATTTTTTTTCCCAACTATATCGTTTTCTTCTACATGTATATATATTATTTTAGATATCTATGCGTAAAACTATAAATCTACTCTATAAAACTTTTTATATATAATTCTAATTCCCATGTCAAGTATATTCTAAATATTAATTTATTTCAGAAATACCATTTAGTCTCCTAAGGAGAAGAATTCTACAAGACTCATTCTTTTCTATTATGTAAAAAATACTTTGTTGATTACTTGCATGTACATTATATGTACATGTACTATTGGGGGAAAATATGTTTACATCTATTTACCTTAAAATTGAAATAAAATTGCGCAACTTTTACAATTTACAAATATCAGTCATTTACAAAATTCTGCGTCACGTACGTACGTTCTTTGAAAATATAATTTTCCTTTTATACATAATTTTAATTGAATAGCAAACTTTATCTTCTTTGTATTTCCCTATTCTTTGGAAGAGTGACACAGATGAAAACAACAACAACAATAACCCCCCCCCAAACCCAAAAAAAAAACCCAAACAATACTAACAATTTCTAAAGTCGTTTCAAATTGCATTTTATTAACGATTGGGGACTTCATATACTAATTGACGCATATAAACGTGATAAAATAGCGGTACCTACACCCTTAAAGCGCGACAAAAGACCACAAAGCATGACAAAGGTTTCTTATTTCTTATTGAACAATTTGTAAATCGATCGTGTCTTCCGTATTGGCAGGTTTTAAATGCCCCAAAAAACTTTGTCGTGGATCAATATATGATTATATCAGACATTTAAATGATCTATATATTATATTAATAAAATAAAATAATGGAATAGGAAGCTAGCATGTTTGTTATGTGGATTTATTTATTCATGTTAGTAATTACTGTGGGTAAGTGGATTTAGTAATAATAAAGTTACTTTAAAAAAATGATAGAAACAAACAAGAAGAATTCAAAATGTAAAGGTAGGGGTTTACCCTAAGGCAAGTCTTACAGGATTTCCATAGACAATTTATATTTCTGTTAAATGATTTTTGTTGAAGTTCGATATAGATGTTGGAAGGGGAGTTACCAGCTGTTGAATTCTTTTTTATTCAACATACATTGAACATAAATAATGTTGCGCATGTGAAACAGAATGTAAGAACCATTTATCTAGATTTTGTTTTTAAAACAACACCAACAACAAAAACAACAAAAATGTTCTTTATTAATTATTCAGATTACAAATATGGTATAACCACATGACAGTTCATCGAAATTCTTTTATCAATATGTTGGTTATATTATCATTAGTCAAGTAAAAAATAAATAATAGAAAAATGTCCCGGTTACTGTAGGAATATTTATTTTTAATTTCAAAATACATGTTGTATGTCATTTGGGAAAATAATTCACTATATTTATAGTTCCAACTGTATTCACCAACATTCGATTCAACGTGTTAATAAACAATAATTACAAATTAACAGGGTTGAATTGATTTACAAATCTTACAGGTTGTCACAAAATGTATAGAATACCTAAAATTTTATACATTAATTTTGAATAAGCTTTATGACGCAATTGAACATTTGTTTACTCATTTTCTATGCATTGAATGATTAAGTTATTTGATCAATTAAGATAAGATATAGTTGTGTGCTTAAATGGAATTGTATGTAAACTGAGAGAGTATTATAAAAAAAGGAAGACTGGGTGTCGGTGTAAATCATTTGATCAAAACACAAAATGTACATGTAGTTCGAAATATTGTTGAAAAGGTTTTTACTAGTTGGACTTTCAAAAACCGGTTTGTATGTAAAATTATTAATTATTAATTATGTTTAGGAGAATTTGCACGAGAAAATGGAGACTTAGCATACGTTTGAACGGATACTGATAACCGGTTTTAAGATAGTTCCAAGTCCTTTCTCATGAGAATATAGACTAACCTCTTTTTTGTATTGTACGGGTGATGAAGCGGTGTGGGGGTGGTATGGTCGGGTTTGGAGGGGTTAAGGAGACATTCTTAAAGAAAAAAACGTTACCGAAGTATATTTCATGGTTTCAAAGATACACACTTCAATAGTAATACTGATATAAATTAGAATGGACTTAAAGTAAGATTTGAATTATAAATATTTTAAATGAAGTTTTAATTAATGCTTTCTTAAAGAGTATAAAGTCGTATTTAATGATTTTTTTCATAGAATTCAAAAACACAAATGAGGTCCTGGAAAATATACAAAAACTATCAATATTAATCATATATCACACAAAAACTACACATATGCAATTAATACATTTTAATTATGGCCACATTAAACTAGAGATGACTGAAATTGGGCCACTTCAAACTTTAAAAGAACTACTTTCAAGACTACAACGGGTTTTGTCTTATTCCGTATCGGAGTGACACCTGTAAGTATTTCTATTAATCCTACATTTTACATACATTTTACAATATCTTAATCTGAAAAACGCAAACTTTGATGTAAGATATCTCATTTACTTTTGATGTTTGTTTATGTTTATAATGAAACAATTTAATTTGCAATATGGCTCTGATATATCTGTATTTCATCTTTTTTAGTAATAGCAGAGCTTTAATATTGTGTGGCCAGACTTACTTATTTTGTATTGCGGGAATGCGGACTTCGAAAGATAAAATGTGAATAAAGTTCTAACTAAAAATTATATTTTGTTCTAGAACATTTTATCTGCTATACAAATATTTGTAATATCGGATTATGTAGCACACACTTGCCAACAACATCCATGTATTATCTTTCGTGGTTTGTTGTTGTGTGATGCTAAATACTTGTAACCTAAGTATTTCTTATTTTACAGACCTTCTATTATAAACTTATAAACCAATTCATTTTAAGCCGTACAGCTGGTGGTAAAGCATACCATACTAATTGAATAATATGCCTTATGAATAATAAATATCTCACGGCGACAAGTGTAAATTAACACGTATATTTATTTTAGAATGAGAGATGCTGCAATATTCATTTTGTATGTTTAAATGAAACTAAAGCTACTTGCTGCTTTATCGATGATCTCCTTATTCGGAATTCCGTTCATGTCTATTACAGAGAACACAATTGTTAACCTATGTAAAATTTCTATACAATTTCGAAATATAAAGGGCCATACGCATCTTTTTATATAATACTTAAATCTTAGCAATTTGAATGGTTTGAAATAGAATGAAATATATTATGCATAAAACAACTATTTACTATGGTGGCGACTTGTGCCATGCTGTATTTTTGCTTCGAGGGCGCCAGACGAAAACACGAAAATACGACAAAGTAACCCACTTCGTTTTATTTTCGTGTTTTCGTCTGGCGTCCCGCGGAGCGAAAATACGACATGGCATAAATCAACCACCCTGGCTAAAAATACTTATTAAAACAGCCATTTGTACAAAAAATGAATGTTAATTGAGAAATGCATGCATCTGAAATTATGCAATGACTTTAAATATTCAATTATTTACAACACAATGATTTATATAAGACAATAAAATATTTCATTTATAGACAGGCATAAATATGTCGAACTTATTTCATAATATACGGAAGTTAACATGTCCAATACTACTATTATCACGTTTAAAATCTTACAAAGAACATTAAATGATTTTTAATAGCTTAAAACTTGAGAAAACAAATAAAGACTTCACAAATTTAGACCACCACAGTGTAACTTCAAGCTGTCAAATACAGATATATAAATAAAAAATAAATAAATAAATAAAAAAAAAAAAAAAACTACTTAAAAGATGTTATTACATTTAAAGTCTATGCTGTACAACAGAATTTCAATTTAAATTATGCTGAATTCCTTGAATGGATTTGTCGGGCTTCCATTTATGAACTGTCCATTATGAAATCTGTGGATATCAAGGCCGTCGGGAGCTATATGAGGCAAAACTGTGCAAGCTGGCCTAACTCTGCACTGGCAGCAAAGACTGATTTTTCGGGATTATTTAAGGGAAGGGTAAACTTGTTTTTGTTTTATACCATTATGAGAAGGAAAGATGCAGGTGCAACAAGAAGCTGGAATCCATTATGTAAAATATCAAACGCTGACTCTTTAGTAACAACTGATGTCGCGTGAAATGATGCTTTATACCTTGCATGCTAAACAAATAGTGTTGTCCTGTTACATTTGTACTATCCTCACACACAATGGAGGGAAAACAACACCAATAACAACAACAACAACAACAACCAAAAACAAATCGAAACATGCATAGATTTATTAATAACCTTCTGTATAAATAATGCTGTTTACTAATGCATCTTTGTTGATTTATTATCACTTGAATTTAATTGCTGATATATTTTTTACTGGATTTTCTGACTTCATGTGTCTATAGCTTAGCTTATAAAACAAGCGTGCCGATGAGAAGTAATGATATTGCATCAACTAGGGTAATAATATAATATATTACATCCTACAAGTGTCTTTAAAAAGAAGTACATTTAAATCCAAAAATCACGTGCAAACAAACAGAACAAAAAAGCTTCACTTATTTTAAAATCTTTACATAACACTTATTTATAACACAGCTTCAAATAAGACTTAAGTATCTACTTCAAAAGAAAAATGTTTATTTAAGAAAATACTCTCGCCTAAATCCTAAATCCTAAATCGGGGTAATTGGTGGATTTTTTAATCAACTGACATAAACAGGAAGACAAAATAAAACACTTCATCGCCATTACCACGCTAAGTATCCATCTTTCAATCTTGACAAAACCCTTCATCATCAATTTTTTGGAAAATAAAAAAATATGTACAGACTGGATACAGTAATCAGATGTACTTAAAGCGATGTTTTGAAATTAATAGTAATATTAGAGCTAGATTTCGAAAAAAGAAAGAAAATAAAATGTAAACAACAACAAAAATTTACTCCCAACCCCTCCCCCAAAACATAAACATCAACAACAACAAAAAAAAAAAAAATAAAATAAAAAAAAATAAAAATAAAAATAAATAAAGACAACAACAAAACAAACAAATTGAGATAAGATATGAATAACAGTACGTCTTTAATCGTGAAACAAAATCTATAGAACTCAAGACGCCATTTCTGACATTAATGACTAAAGTTCTTCTTATTTATATCATTTAACAAGAACACAAGAAGATCATATAAGTACAAAGTGCTATTTATCTATCAAGTCACGAATGAATGTTATAATAAAAACTATGACGTTCTTATAGAACGGTGCACATAAGAGTTCAAATCTCAAATAAAACGGTAAGGTGATAATTTTGTCTGGTATACTCGAGAAACAACTTTCCAAAAACTGACGTCAATTTTACACATTTTCCCGCCATTTGTGAAATATTAGTAGTATAGGTATATTTTATTCTATATTTATGGTATACTTAAATAAAAATAAATAGATAAGTCGTCGAACAGCTTTTTATTACATGAATAACCTTCGTCCGTGATATCTGTGAAAATTATCATCTAAAACGAACATATTATACGTTTACATGATATAACATACACTAAGCTATTTAAAGGTACAAGACACTTGTATACAAAAGTGTAATATGCTTTTTTTTAAATCAAATAAACTATTTTAGACATGTCGAAAACAAAAATGTTAAAATCCATCAAAAATGAATTCTGGAAACGTGCTTTAATCAAATGCATTTTCATTGTTTATCTATCAAAAATGAATTCTTGAAACGTAATTTAATCAAATGTCTTTTCATTGTTTGTTGAACATCAGAAATGTGATAAAGAAGACTTTGTAGCTTACCTTTACTCAGTCACGACATTACGATAAGAAACAAAAGTATTTTGTTGGAATTATTGGTAAGAAAAGGGAATTCACTGTATTTATGATATCTTACAGGACAAGGGATTGTTTTATACACTAGAAAAGTTAAACAATATCTACAATGTAAATACCGACATTTGCCATAGAAACTAAAATTAAAAGGACTGTTAACGGGAACCTCCTACACATAACCCTCCCTCAAAAAAACTTTTTGCGATAAAATATCACTTTTACATTCATTAATTCGTTAATAAACGCAAATGATGTTACGCCAAAATATATGCACGGTCGTGCGATACCGATTTACAGAGTCGCAAAAACGGCAGCGCAATGTGATAAATATAAAAGACATATTGAATAATTTTGTTGTATTTCTAATGTTTGTTTCAGCTGGTAATAACATAGAGCGAGCCACGTATTGTTATGGCGACAACTCGGCTGGTTCTAACATTGTAAATATTACTTGTACAAGTGGCGCCGTCTATATCAATGACGTCATTGCAGCAACAAAACCTTCATCGTTATGTAAGTTAACCTTGCAAATGCAATGATTATAGCGGCCTTTCTTATATACTACTTTCTTTGATGTTTATTAAAACACTCATAAGCAATCACTGTCATTAGTGTTGAACTTTAAATAAAGCTTTGAGCTCGCTGAAGCCCACAAAGTTAAATAATAACTTATAGTTGTCTTTTTGACACTATTTTAGTAGTGCGCTTTTCTTTCCTCTGATATGTATGGCCTCGCTTCAGATTTAATTACAATTATATAACTATGGCCTCGATATAACGCAGCATTGAAGTAGCTTACTTTGCTCTAAAATTATTATACCTTTCCTATAAATTATTTTCTATTTAAAGTTTGCTATATGCATGTAAATGTTTTGTGTCATTTTCAAGAGACAATAATTCACGCAATGATACAAAGTTTGAAATATATGGTAAATTTGACAATTATTATGTTTTTTATGACACTTTATTACATGATTATATCATATTAGATGTGATTATGATTTTCAATTGCTCAAATTAAAGTTAATTTCAATGTTGTTTCAAAGATTATTTAAATTCCGCTTTCTTTAATACTGTATTGATAATTCTATTAAACATTGACTAATGTCTTTTTTATAGATGTAACTGTATAGTCAATTTTATGATACATTCATTTTTTATATGTATATGAATATTGTTATGTTTTTATCGTTTCAGCATGTGCCCCAGAGGATCATGTCGGAACACCTGCTCCGTATGAGAAATGCTGTACTTATAATGAATCTGACTGCATGAAAAGTTACTCTGGATCATGGGATGCTTTCAGAGGTTGTATAGGGAAGGTTTCGTGTACAGGGGTACCAGTTATACGCGATGAGCCTATCTGTTCTCAGGGTGGCTTTCCTAGATTTAGCAATCATATGATCCTCGAATACTACTGCATGCCACGTAACCATTTTTTATCAATGCGTCATTATCTAAATGTACATAAAATAATGCGGAACAATCTCACTAAATAGTATACAGAAAACATAAATATATGCAATAAAACTTAAAATTTAAATGGATTCATTTTTTGCATTTTTTACAATAATTAATATTAGCTGTTCGTTCCGTCAAAGGACATTATTGACGGACCTTAATTTCTCAGTGTTGCTTTTGTTGAGACAACAATAACACAACGTTATACTTGATCGTCTGCATGGGTTATAATGGTTGTTTTAATCATCAGTGTAGAATTACAAATATATTAGTTATAAAATGTAAAACCTAAGAATGAAAAATGTGTCTATTAAAATGGATGCAGACTGGAGGTAATGATATGTATGTATGTGACATCATATATATTCTATTCTAGCTGGTGTTATATTTGGACCATGCTCAACTTCTGCTGACTGCAATGATCCTTCAGCAATGTGTAATAAAACGTACTGCGCATGTCAACCCGGATATACCACATTTTATGCTTTCGATGATTGCTGGAAAGGTACGTAAAATATGTCAACAATTAAGCAGCTTTTCAATATTATTAATGAGCCGCGTCACGACAAAAACAACATAATGGGTTTGCGAACAGGATCCATGCTGTTCGCTTACAAACTCTATAACAAGTAAAGAAACTGATAGCGAACAGCATGGATCCTGATCAGACTGCGCGGATGCGCAGGCTGGTCTGGATCCATGCTGGTCGCAAACCCATTATGTTGGTTTTGTCAAATTTTGGCTCAAATTTTGTCAAATAAAACAATTCTTTCGAAGGTGAAAAACAAAAATACCGATCTTTATTATATACTTATAAATGAAATATTGAGAAATATTGATGAAATAAAATGCGTATTTTCATTTTCGGTATTTTCACTGTAAAAATTTATTTTTCACTGCAGTGAAACATATTTTCCGTATTTTCACTGGTGTCTTGCCGGACTACTTTCTTTTAAATTCTGCCAGTACATAAAATTTATGGGAGTCTTTCAAATTTTATCGCAAAAAAAGAGAAAAATGTATATAATAAACAGAAAATTCAAGTTTTTTCTATAAATACTTGATTTATTTTCATCTTGTGGCATGAAAATTACCATATTTCACTCGTGGCTACCGCCACTCATGAAATATTTATTTTCATACCACTCAATGAAAATAAATCATGTATTTATAGAAAAAACTTGAATATCCTCTATTTATATAGGTTTCAAACATAAACTTCAATATCAAAAATGTTATGAGTATTGATAAGTAAATATTAAAATTTTAAGCTGCCAAATGTTAATAATTCATGTTTGTAGATTCAACTTATCAATTAGAGATTGTCATACGCAGAACGATATCCTTTCAATAAGCCGGTTTATAAATATTGCTGTATAGTATGTTAACAAAACCATTTCATTTTTTAAGCATTTACAATGAATTGATTGCACTTGAACACTTTTACACGCATACATTATAGCATTATTAATTATTATTATACACATAACATTTCAGGAGTACCAAAATGTAAAATTTTAGTTATTTTTAATCTAAACATATCCCTTTGCATTATAGATGGTGGTTTAAACGGCTCGTGCACCGGTCCTGTCGGATGCCAGGATGCAAATACGTACTGTAACTTTACTTCTGGGCGTTGTCAGTGCGACGTTGGATATATTGCGCATAATGGGAGCTGTCGAGAAGGTAAACAACGATACTTGTCTCTATGATTATTTAAACATAATAATCGTGCTGCAGAATAAGTGCACTATATCAAAATACGTTTATTATCGATTCAAGTATCTAGCAGTTCATATATTTGAATAAGTTTATGGATATAAAAAAACAAACTTTTACACAAATATATTATGAAATTATAGTAGTTGTTCCCTGATTATATATTTTATATACTTATACCGCATCAATAAATCACATTTTATTATTACACAATGTGAATCACAAAACTTAATTTATTGACGACTTGTAAAGTTTTTACATAAATCATTATCAATTAAAATAAATTACTAATGTAATACTTGGGAACATAATTATATCTTGATAACTGAAATACCTAAAAACACCATGACCTATGAATAATTGATAGGTAAATGTATTGACTAGAAACGTAGGCCTGTGCCTTTGAAAGAAATCGACCATTTTAAAAAGCAATTTACTCCAAAAATCTGGCATGAAAGTTCAGAAAAGTTATTTACAATTATATTTGAAGGTGGTCACAATTTAGGCTTCTGTAAAGACACAGCTGACTGTACAGATCCACAAGCTTTATGTGACACCAGCGTCTGTGTTTGTAAAGACGGGTATACAGCATTTGAAGAGTTTGATGACTGTTGGAAAGGTAGGCTTGCTTAGCTAGATTACAAGTGTTACAGTTATATTAGACATTGCAGTTTCAGAACAGATTGTCATTGGTTATTTTGTGTTCGCACTATTTCTTTGATCCCACATTTAATCATACAGAAAGTTTAACACTGATATTTCTAGACTTTATTAATGGAAATATTAAGGTTGAAATAGTTTCGGGTGTCATTTATAAATCTTATAAGATATTGACATAAATGTTTGAAAATACAATCTGTTCTAAACAAAAAACTATTCCCTTCATCTCTTTTCTCGATATCTTCTGCACATATTGCTTTTTTCACTTTAGTTTGGTTTGACATTCAGAGTTGCTAGACAATATTATTTGCATTATATCTCTTTTTGAATATTTGTATTGTATTATTTATGCAACATGTAAATAATTGTTGCAATAAAATATGATTAAACCATAAAAAAGACAATATCATGTACCTTTGTATATCACTTCGTACTTCCTCTGCATATTTGGTATATAAACAGTGCAGTTATATAAATCCAAATTGAGATCAAACTGCGTGTGCTTGTACTATAACAGGCGTATGATAAGTCTAAAATATATTTTCGTTCAAAACAAAACTTAGGTCGTTATATTAGTACAATAAGATGGTACAACCGATTTATCATTTAATATCAAAACTCAAACAATTTTATCTGGAACTTTAATATTACAAAAAAAATGTCACAGGCAAAGCGTTTCATCAAAAGTGTTTTTATATGTCTGCCAACTTGTTTTTTACCAACACATCTATGCAAACGGGTATAATAATTGTTCTTTATGAACAATCAGATTCCATTGCTAAGCTTACCATAATGTTTCAATCGAATTTGAGGCTCCGATTTGACCTTTCAATTTTGCTATATTATTTTATACACTTAGATAATCTTTTCTGATTTGTATTACTATAGTCTCTTATAATTTACTTTTGACCACTGCATCATTGAATTGTTTACAGACAGTGTTTTTTTTATTATCAGTAGAAGTGCCAAATAGTTTGCTTCAAATTGTTCATATTTTAGCGGGTTACTATTAGCTTGCCTTTTGCACGCACACTTTTAACTCTTTCTGCACTAGTATCTTTCTCCATTTCCTGCTAGATGGTAGCTTTAACGGGTCGTGCACAGATTCGAGTGGTTGTTATGACAACATTACTGTATGCAATACCACTGTAAACAGATGTACATGTAGGGAAGGGTATTCACCTTATGAGGGTGCATGTTATGCAGGTAAACGTTTTTGTGCCAATTCGAACTGGCACATTTTTGTATAAGGTTGCTGAACTTATATTACTAAGACTAATAGAAATGAAACAATCTGTCCTGTAGCTTAAGCTGCTTGTGCATATATTTCACGAAAATTAAGATATCTGTCAAAACAGGAAGTATCATATATAAAGTAAATGTTATTCACAAATGATTGCATGACACTTGTTATTTACTTTGCCAAATTCTTTGTTTAATTTGTTTATTTAGAATAATACATTATTTATATTTAATATAAAAACTATACTTAAATCAACAAAGAAAACTAGGAATGCTTGCAATTCTGTAAAGACTTGTTTTTCTTTAAATCAATAAATACACCTGTAATTAAAAGCACGCTGTTTTTACATACCGTATGGCGACTATCCAGCTTACTGGTAGAGAGGAAGACATCAGGCGCCCATTTTTGCATTATTTTAGGCACGAACAGACACCTCATCGAGTAGTACCACCGACGGTCCGTAAGCTAGCTAGATAGCTTCCTATCATGACAGAATCTGTCCCTGGCGAGTGATTTAAAGTTTACGACTTTAAGTGTCCACTCGTTCAGGGACACACCAAAACATAATGCCATAACATATTGTAATAACATGAAACGAATACCATTGTTAATATTTATTATCCAGATGGAGATTTACACGGGTTATGTAATAATACTAGTGACTGTGTAGATGACAATGTAGAGTGTAAGAACAAGAGATGTACTTGTATAGATGGCTTCAGAGATATATATGGCATTTGTCAACAAGGTATTCTTTTCATCTCTCTTTAATAAACGATGAGGAATGTTACTTTGTTCACTTGTCGCATCACTACTGTAAGGACAAAAAAATAATGGTTTGGGTTTACGCTGCACCAACACTAGGTCATATGACGAATTTTCAGTTTTACTGGTGAAGGAAGACCTCGGGTGACATTCAATGCGTTATTTCCGGAACAAACAGGCACATGATTACTCTCTTGCTCATCGGTCGAATGTTTCACTATCGTTCCTATTGTTAAGTAACTGAACTGCACAGAAGCGTAGAACATGTGTAGAATCACGTCACTGACGTTCCGTAAACTAGCTGAGTAACTTCCTCACATGAAAGAATCCAAAGTCCCTGGCAAGATTTGTTGTTTCATGACAACGCCCTTAACCACTCAGCCACCACTCAGCCAAATGTGCCCCTAAAGGAAAAAAATATAGAAATGGGCATAATCACGTTATAAACATTTATATATAATGCAGATGACTCAAACCCCAAATATAAAGATAAAGTCTGAATGACATTTGTCAACTTTTTGTCCTATTAGACACATTGTCACATTAGAAATGACGGTAAATTGCCTACGAGGTATACACTATTTGATCAAGTACTGGCATATACAATTACTTAAATAGAATATAAGAAACGGTTTCCACGACGTATGTAATGTACCTTTTGCCAAGAAACACTCGTTGTGGGCTGCTATATCGAAATAAATTCACGAATTCGTACTTTGCAAACGTTCTTTTCTTAATACAAAAATATTTTGAAATGTCAACTTGAATTGTATAAAAGACTACAAAATTATTTCTATGATTTACAGACGGTCATTTGAACGGTTATTGTGAAGCAAATGTTATTGAATGTGTTGATGATAATACAACATGTCAGGCAAACAAAGGCGTGTGCGAATGTATTCAACACTTTACTGAAGTAGACGGCGTGTGCAAGAAAGGTATGTTAAATATCAAATTGTTAATCTATGTGATAATTTGTAAGCGGAACACGTACAGTTTTTCTTTGAAATTGTTTCTAAATGTAAATGAATAGAATATAAATAAAATATTGTTTAAACCCAAAAAAGTTGAAACAGAGGCCATCGCGTATTTATGTTATTATCATTATTTAATTACAGATGGTGACCTTGGTGGTAAATGTGTTGTTAACAGCAACTGCACAGATGAGCATGCAGAATGTGTTACTCTACAGTCAAACCCATCATTGTCCGTGTGTTCTTGTATACATAACTATACTAATATTGATGGAGTCTGTATCAAAGGTAATCTTTAATTTAGAGACATGACATTTATGGCCTAACTAAGAGCTTAAAAATACAGATAATATATTAAATTAGTCCAATGAAAAGTGGCTGTAATGCTTTGCTGTTATTCTGAAATGCATGAATATTTCTTAAGTTGCTACATATTGTAATATCTCTACACGAAACTCACTGTTGATGTTTGTGTTTGACAGATGGAGATTTACATGGGTTATGTAATGTTGATAGTGACTGTGTAGATGACAATGTAGAGTGTAAGAACAAGACTTGCAAATGTATAGATGGCTACAGAGATAAAGATGGCATTTGCCAACAAGGTATGCGTTTTCGTCCCTCTTTAATAGCCGATGAGGAATGTAACTTTGTTATCTTGTCGTATCACTAACGTTGGAACAAACTATTTTTTGTTTGGTTTGACGTGGCACCAAGACTGGGTCATATGACGAATTTCAAATATAAAGATAAAGTCTGAATGAAATTTGTCAACTTTTTGTCCTATTAGACATATTGTCACATTAGAAATGACGGTAAATTGCTAACGAAGTACACACCATTTGATCATGTACTTGTTTATACAATTACTTGAATGAAATATTAGAAACAGGTGTAATATACCTTTTGTCAAGAAAGTTCGTCGTGGGCTGCTATATCGAAATAAATTGATGAATTCACGCCTTTCAAACGTTCTATTCCTAATAAAAACTATTTTGAAGTTTAATTTGGCTTTGTCAACTTGAATTGTATAAAAGACTACAACATTATTTCTATTATTTACAGACGGTCATTTGAACGGTTATTGTGAAGGTGGTATTATTGAATGTGTCGATGATAATGCAACATGTCAGGCAAACAAAGGCGTGTGCGAATGTATTCAACACTTTACTGAAGTAGACGGCGTGTGCAAGAAAGGTATGTTAAATATCAAATTGTTAATATATGTGATAATTTGTAAGCGAAACTCGCACATTTTATTTCTCTGAAATTGTTTCTAAATGAAAATGGTTTTAACCCAAAATAGTTGAAACAAAGGCCATCGCGTATTTATGTTATTATCATTATTTAATTACAGATGGTGACCTTGGTGGTAAATGTGTTGTTAACAGCAACTGCACAGATGAGCATGCAGAATGTGTTACTCTACAGTCAAACCCATTATTGTCCGTGTGTTCTTGTATACATAACTATACTAATATTGATGGAGTCTGTATCAAAGGTAATCATTAATTTAGAGGCATGATATTTATAGCCTAACTTAGAGCTTAAAAATACAGATAATATATTAAATTAGTCCAATGAAAAGTAGCTGTAATGCTTTGATGTTATTCCGAAATGCATGAATATTTCATAAGTTGCTTCATATTGTAATATATCTACACGGAAATCACTTTTAATGTTTATGTTTGACAGATGGAGATTTACATGGGTTATGTAATGTTGATAGTGACTGTGTAGATGACAATGTGGAGTGTAAGAACAAGACTTGTAAATGTATAGATGGCTACAGAGACATTGATGGCATTTGTCAACAAGGTATATCTCAATTTTCTGATTTCTCATATGAAACATGAAATTAAAAACATTTGTGTTATCAAAAATAACTTAAACTGAAATCAAAAATAACTATATCTGAATCCATTTAGCGATAAGAACTATTAATTCTGCATTAAAAGACAAAGGTCTTTAAGTTTAAATACAAAGAAACATATTGATAACATTAAAGCATTGAATGCAATTTTAGTTCTTTGTTATAAGTTTCACCTTTCTGCTGTACTTGCCAAGTTCAGTCTTGCATAATAACTACTGACCTCCAAGAAGACCTTGTACAAAATAAAATTACAGTTTCATAAGACTAAAAGTTTTTTTGTTTAATTATAATCTTTATCTTTGTAGACGGTCATTTAAACGGTTATTGTGAAGTTGGTATTATTGAATGTGTTGATGATAATACAACATGTCAGGTAAACAAAGGCGTGTGCGAATGTATTGAAGAGTTTTCTGAAGTAGACGGCGTGTGCAAGAAAGGTATGTTAAATATCAAGTTGTTAATCTATGTATTAATTAGTTAGCAAAATCGTACAATTTGTCTTTAAAATTGAGGTAAACACCGTGTTTCTACGGTCTAAAAGTCCAAAAATGGAGGAAAAAGGATAACCGAACGTCTAAAGGCAAACAATTAAAAAAAATTGTAGGCCTGATTTGATACAAACTGTTTATGTTATTATCAGAATTTGATGCAATAAAATCTCCTTACAGATAGAGATCTTGGTGGTGTTTGTGAAGGAGACAGCAATTGTAAAGATAAAAATGCAGACTGTCTTCCATTGCAGTCAGACCCAGCACTTTCTGTTTGTACTTGTAAAGTTAATTATACTAATGTAGATGGAACATGCATTAAAGGTAAACATTAGCCATAAATGCTCATCTTGTACAAACATTTGTTTTCACTTTTATAAACGCTTCTTCATATATTTCTTAAAAAGCATTTCAGAATACTTTCAAAATTTGACCCTCTGCAGTTGTTGACACAATATATTTTGTTTATTTTTGGCACAATTCTTTTTTACTGTTTTGAAATTAAATTCATGACATCTGGAGTAAAGTCAGATCAAGTTAAATGACAAATTACAAATATAGGACGTTAACATAATGAATTTGGTTGAAATGTAAGATAAATTAGGACATTGTTTTCAAAAATGTTTTCTGTAACAAACTCAAACACGAAGGTTTTTATCGTGTTAAAGTAGGGCAATTGCACCTATATTTAATCATTGGCATAACATGTATTGCGTGATTTTGGATCAAATGTTGCTGTGAACAGTTTACTACAATTTTGTATCAACACATGTATTTCACCACATATCATTCCACTTTTCGATTGTATCATGCACTTCTTTACCTTTCAATTCACTGTTAATTAGATGGAACACTATTTGGTGTGTGCAGTGTGACAGTTGTATGTACAGACAACAACACTGAGTGTAACACATCTACAAGTAGGTGTGAATGTACTTCGGGTTATACTCCAGATGACGGTGTTTGCTATGCAGGTAAGTTTGATATGAATACCAGTTAATAACAATGACATCAATAACAACAACACTGACAAAAAACAACAACACACAATTAGAAAGAATGGTGCATGTGTTTTTCTCCATTAATTAGGTATTGGTTTGTATTTTTGCAAAATAAAATCCATCTATGCGTTTTTTGAAATGATATTTTAGAGCCTGAAAGTGTATATTCGACAGAATTTTTGTCTATTTGCTTCTGTCAAGCAAGAATAGATAGATGACTCTTTGATGACACTGTTGTCTCTTTTTGGCATACATAACTGAATAACTCTAAGGGATATGTTGCCTGGTGTAAATTGTTTGTGAAAATAAATCTATGCTTTTTCCATTGTTTTTTTTTGTTTCCACAATTGCATAAAATTAATCGTGCTATGCTTAAGAATGAAAATATTCTTTATCTTTAAATGTCCTTTGAAATGTTTAGATCTCGTCATACAGTTGTTTCTCTTTATATGTTTTTCTACAGATGCAATTCATAGTATTTTATTATAATTTATTCTGCTTTACAATAATGAAGGTTATGTAAGAATATTCTGCAGATCTAAAGTGATGTGTGGCATGTGTGTGTGTGTGCATCTGGGTTCCGTCTCATCAACGGTCGTGCGGCCGTGATAATCATGCGATGGTTGATAAGAAGGACCCCAGCCCAATACTTCATCTCAGTGTTAAATTTTTCTGGTGCTTCCGGATCATTGATTGACATACTTAAATTTTGATTTTATGATTTCATATTTACTTCAGCCAAGCAGTGACAATGTGTTAGGTGGTACAAAAAGTTCAACATTCCATTGTACCTATTGGAGAAATTATGAATCTCCAATTTTATTTCGGTTTTCTCTGCTTTCGATTAATATCTTTTTACACAATTTTCATATTTTGTGTACAAATAAATAATGGGAACAAAATCGTTTATATTTAGATTATATTATATGTAATGCATAAACTAAACACACTTTACAGAGTTTATTTTATTTTAAAGATGGAGACCTTCACGGGCATTGCAAGAACGATTCAGATTGTGTTGATGCAAATACCACGTGTGTAAATCAGAGGTGTAAATGCATCACTAATTACAGGGACATTGATGACACATGCCGTGAAGGTATTGCACAAAGATATCATAAAATGTATCCTTAAACTATGACTTTTCAGATGCTTCGATAATATTTAGAAAACTTTTATGTTTATAAACCTTTTTATAATTAAACCATGACTATTGTCTGGAATGTTATTTTTTTTTCAAGAATATCATTTTTCATATCGATGTCGTTTTTGTACTAAATGCATTTTAAAAGCTTTAAATGAATATGAAATCAATTGTGATATGGGCAAGTCATCTTTATTCGTAGACCGGCACCTTGATGGTTTTTGTGATTCAAACAATGACTGCGTGGATGCAAATACTGAATGTGTAGATGATGTTTGTGGATGTATCAGCGGTTATACTGCAATACGAGATGCTTGTTTTAAAGGTTAGAAACAAAACTATGTGCACTAAAACAATATAAAGATAGGGAACAAAGAATAATAACACTATGATTGACTGCCTTTGCAGTCTTTATAGTGATCCAGAGATGTATATGTTTTCGTTGTAATTTATGAAATTAAGTTCTTTATTTATCTTCTTTTTTTAGGGCGAGTTAGATTGTCAATTTATTAACCTTTTCCCTTATATAAGCGTGTTTCGACGGCTTTTTGCCACCCCCCCTCTTTTTTAGGCCTCAAACAGTGAAAAAATGCCCTATTTAGGCCCCAAACACTGTTTTTCGTTTAAGAAATGTTGTTAAAAAAAAGTGACCACTTTTTCGACGCCTTCCCCTATCCAAATGAAAATTTTGGACATGTGACAGGCTAAAAATGGCCTCAGGTCGATCTTAGGGTAACTAGTAACCGACGTTGAAAAGCCTTTTACTCTATCTCAATTCATTGAGAAGTTGCAGCACTTTGAAATCAGTTTTGATGGAAAAAAACAATGCAAAATAGTGATTTTTGGCAATTTTGAGACGTCCCCCGTTGCCATGGTAACAGGAAATTTACAATTGAGCATGCTGTTACAGAGGCTATGGTCTAGTCAATATTTGTGCCAAGTTTCATCAGCATTGAAGCATTTTTCATAGTTTCATAGCAGTTTGAACTTGTTACAGGAGGCTTTTCAATGAAAATGGCCATTTTTCGCAATATGCTCATGGGGTAAAAGGTTAAAAGCATGATCACTCCAAATTGTATCTCTAATATACTTGAATAATTTCTAACATGAAATAAGTGAAATAAGATATTCTGAATCCAAAGTTCGTTAGTCTACGTTCTAAGTAAAGCATTCGTATTTATCATTTAGTGCCCAGCTTTATTTGACATCCAATGAAAACGCGGTATTTAAAAAAAAAATGTGTGTGTTAAATTTCATAGAAGAACAAAATCGATACAATATCAAATTCAGTTTATAATAGCCCTCTATTTTTCATAGATCGTCATAGAACCGCGTTCGTTGTAAGGGGAATATCAATGAAGCCAAATAAAGCTTAATACTAAGTATGTGAGTATTCATCCGTAGCTGTATTACAGAAATTAGAAACATAATTATACGGATTATTCGCTCTATCTTTCTAAGTTTCTAAGTTTCATCACGCAATTGTGCTGCATGAATGATTCCCCAAATTTTTACTAACTGTCATTATTATCATTTTAACAGATGGAGACCTAGACGGAAAATGTACAGAAGATAGTGACTGTCAGGATAACAATGCTTTCTGTGAGATTTCTTCCTCAAACGTGGCAATTTCAGTTTGCAAATGCAAGACCAACTTCACAAATATTGACGGCAAATGTAAACTAGGTACTGACATAATTTGTTTTCATCTTTCAATGGCAGAAAAAGCAGAAGAAATCAAAACAAATTGTAATATGCAGGTGAAAATCGAAACATTTAATGCGTAGATTATATTTTTTGTCTTTTGTTTTGGTGAATTCATACATGTATATATAAATATATATTATAAGATATATAAAGTTGACTATATTTTTGTCCTATGTTTTATTTGTATATAGATCGTCGACTTGGTGGATGGTGCTCAGCCAGCTTTTCTTGTTTGGATGCAAATTCTAATTGCTCCAGAGATGGCATTTGTACATGCATTGCTAAATATTCAGAAGTAAACAACATTTGCACAAAAGGTAAACGTCGTTTTGTTTTGAGACTGATAAGTGTATAAATTTTATAACATGAAATATTCTATATTAGAATCTAGTACTAGTATTAATGGCCATACTGTGAATCTTGAAAAATTATGTTACAGTTGTTTAGACTTTAGTCTAAAATTATTTAACAGCTACTTGGTAACCAAATGATCAACATTGCTTAAAGGCTTTTCTTCTTTAGAAAATTTAAACAAAGTTACTATAATATATTTACTTCCATACAAAATACTAAATCGCTATAACTAAACTAAACACAACAGTAGAAAAAGTTTCAGTTAATTTTGCAAATTAGTAACTTTTTGGAAACTATAAAAGTACACCAAAATAACAAGTTTTTGAGAAATATGAATAAAAATATTTCTAGGGTATAATGGGGTTTTAATTAAAGACTGAGACTTAAATAAGTATCACTGTACGATTTTATAGATGAAATGGAAGGTGGGGTGTGTGCCGGTGGTAACAGAATGGGACAATGTTCTGAGGACAATACCGTTTGTGTGGCGGACACGCAGTCACAATGTGCGGGCTCGAATTGTAAGCCTGGTCTATGTAAATGTAAACAAGATTACTCTATAGGATTTGATGGTTCCTGTACAAAAGGTAATGGTAATAGTTTTTGTCGAATGCAGTTATTATTAGTAACAGTTCATAAAAATAAACACAATTGATACTTTCGTTATAATTACAATTACATTTTTTGTACTATTCTGACAGTTTGTAATGTTTTGCTAATTATATCGGATGATTTATGAAGATAAATTTCACACAAAGAAAAAACAACATTGATGCATTCACAATTGCACGTAGGAATGTAATAATGTAATACGGTTCTAACAAATGTGATGTAATTTGAAGACTGAGCTTAATAATAGTGATAACTGTACAAAACGGCATTGAAGTATACTTGTACGTTTGATGATAAGGTGAAATGTTAAGGTGCTAGTTTTGCGCATACTGAAGTTTTAATTTACAGGTACTTTGAGATGAGAAAATTATCTTCTTTTGTCTTTCTAGATGGGGACATTGGCAGTGAATGTAACATGAATAATGATTGTATAGATGCTAATGCAGAATGTACGGGGACACCGTCTTTCTGCACGTGTTCCACGGGTTATAGAAATGTTGAAAAAGATTGTATAAAAGGTAATTAGTTAATATCAGATAACATTTATACCTTTCTGCTGTTATATCTAAAATAATTCATAAAATCGGAATGGACGAGGTGATTGTTACCCTGAAACTGAAAGTGTTACCCAGAATTATTGAGGTCTTTCTATGGTCACAATAAACACATATGTTGAAAGAGAAAAACTTGTTTCCTTTTCATGTAAAATAAATCGAAGCTTGAAATCAAATCCTGAAAGTATCATTTAACAATGCAAACTTTAGGCTTTCAAAAGACAGACAACTTTTTGTATTGTTGTGTTATAATGTGAAGCTCATAATATGCATGTATATTGTATGACAGAATCTAGATCGCTGTCATGATGGTCAAATACAAAGGTTTTCCTCAGGTATTAGCAGACGCCTGGATTGAACCAATCTATCATTCACTTGTGAAAGATAAGCTAGCTTAAATCATTGTATTATAGGACTGGGCTGGAATTGAGATTATTTATGTTTCTCGTACTTTATAGCAAGCGAGAAATTTCAACACATTTCTAACTGATTCATATTTTCTTGAGCGGATCTACCTGAAATTGTAAACTTAAAATGAAAACACTACTTAATTAATACATCCTGCAAATTCAATTTTCATACATCTCAGGAATTTTTCAACAAAAATCCAGATGGTATTTATTTGACCTATACTAATTATATGATAATATCTATTTAGAGGAATATAACGTAGATCATGGTAAAAGTGTTTAATATTTGTAACGCGTTACTATCCTTTGACGTTATCAGAAGTGTCATTTCTCTGTAACTATTCTTTATCATCACATTTGACATATGTATATATGTCTGATGCAGCACATTTATCCATTGTTCATATTTATTTCTGTCATGCTTTCTTTTTATATTAGACCATTTAGTGTTGTAAAACTAGATTCTATACCTTTTTGATATAACACGCAGGTCAATCAACTGGATTCCTGGTAAAACCAAATCAGTTTTTTGTTACAAGTCCGATTTTCACTGCACTCACGAGAGTTCATATCTATTTTAACCTCATGCCTGTCAATTTAGCCCATGCTATCAGTTGACTCTGTGAGACTGTAGTACTTATATATAATTCTCTGTTCAGCATCCTCTAAAGTATGTTATTCTGTCATACTGCCAGTCAGATAACTACAAATACGCAACACCCTGCCAATATAGACTCTGACTAGTTAATTAACCTTTATTTATCTTTATTAAAGCTGCATGCCTCCAAATGAGTCGAAATATTTCAAGAAAAGGAAACTTGAGAAAAGTGTACTAAGATTTTTTAAAAAAAATTCAATATTCAAGTCATAATTAATATGTTATGTGCTATTAATGACTGACTTTGCAGTACTTATTACTATATTTTTACTGCGTGACTAACTGCAGTAAGGGCTATTTTTGACATCTGTTAGGTAATGAACGTGGTTGAAAGTGATGTTTGCAATGTTTTACCGGTATTTTTTTTTGTTCAAAATATTTTACATTTTAATACATTTCAAAATGTTGATGACAATTAGCATAACTCTGGAGGCATGCTGCTTTAACCTTTATTAAGCTATAATGATCTTTCAAAGATACAGCCTAACGGTTCTGTCAATGATACCATTTAAAGTATTTTATTTGTTTGTGATGGCAACTATTTATGCAGTTAATCATTATCTGTGATTGCTTTCGACGGGCTTGAACTCCCAGCCAATTAAATGGACGTTCTACTCCATTTTTCTAATTATCGAATAAATTGTTGAATGGACCCAAATTTGGTCCAAAAGAATTGAACATCCTACGTAGAACAACCCGAGCACTTAAGGTATTAGCATCATAATGCATCACCTCCGCTATTAAGAGTATTCAAAAGGTTACAAAGACATGCGCTAAAATTAAATTGAAAATGAATTTTTGTTACATTCTTAGCCTGTTTATGAATAAAAAGCGTTTGACCGCTTTGCATTTTAGCTCATTTTGTACCATAAAATGTTTATTCTGGAAAAAAAAAAGGAGAGAGCAAATGATCAGAAATTTCGCGAACTAGTTAGTTATTGGTATAGGCCCAAATGAAATAGTCTTGCAACTCGAAACGAAACTTCTTACTCAGTGGAGTCTTTTAAAAATTATCCATGTATATTTTTCTTTAAATAATAAAAATTATTTTCATGCCTACAACATAATATTTATATGAAAAAAAATATATCTAAAAATACACAAAAACGTATATGAACATTTGAGCTGTGTCATGACAAAACCAACATAATGGGTTTGCGACCAGCATGGATCCAAACCAGTCTGCGCATCCGCGCAATCTGATCAGGATCCATGCTGTTCACTGTCAGTTTCTCCACTTGTCATAGAGTTGGTAAGCGAACAGCATGGATCCTGATCAGGCTGCGCAGATCTGGTCTGGATCCTTGCTGGTTGCAAACCACTATGTTGGTTTTGTCGTGATGCGGCTCATTTATTATTTATTTATTCCAATGCAATTACTATTTCATATGATTTATCAATGTAGAAAATTAAATTTGAATTCTCAAATATTATATTTATTTACATATTATGTATAGAACAAAGATATTAGTTAAAATATTATTTGGATGTTAGTCAAAATTTTGCATGTGTTATCAATAATTGAAAAAATATCGTGTAGTCAAAAATATTGCTAGAGTCTTAAGATTGACAAGACATTGAGTGTGTGGGGGATCCGTTGTCTATGGACAATTTCTAGTTTTTTTTATGTCTGACTCGGCTTACACATGTTATTACATGTCTATTATACGTTAATATAACGCGATTCTTTTGGTATTACCTGAAGTCATGATTAATCTGACAAAAGTTCAGATTAACTCATTCTTCCATTTTAGATCTGATGAACGACCGTATATGTTTCGATATTCCCCGAGAAATAATTATTAGCCATACAATCAAACCGGGTTTGACATAGCATTCGAAATTGTTGAGTATGTTAGATAAAAAATGTTTGAAGTAATATTAAACAAATTACTTGAAATAAAGTCAATATAAATGGGCAAGATTGTTCTGCAGTTTACCTGTCGGCTATAAGGACAACGCCTTTTTTTCTCGAAATCGTGAAAATTTACCTTACCCCAGGAGTTTAAATTAGAAACCACATCGCTATCAAAATTAGTGTTCGCCGGCTCAGTGAAAAATATGTGGCATTTTATAATGTTTCGTGATTCCATATTTCACTCAAACGAAAAAATATCCTCTTATTATTTTTAATTAGTTTTAATAATCTTAAGTTATTATGCCCCCACAATGTGGGAGCATATAGCGTTGCACTTGTCCGTCCGTCCGTCAATCCGTCAGTCAGTCAGTCCGTCCGTACGTCCCGAAATCTTGTGAACGCAACTCCTCTTAAACCGGATAGCAGATTTTGCTTAAACTTACAGGGATGATCAACCTTAATGTGTAGATGGTAGTAAAGGAAGGAATTTTCCCTGCGACCAAATTTAACAGAATTATGGCCCTTTGTTGATTTTTTCACTAGATACTATGTAGAAATTTTGTGAACGCAACTCCTCTTAAACCGGATGGCAGATTTTTGCTTAAACTTACAGGAATGAACAACCTTAATGTGTAGATGGTAGTAAAGGAAGGAATTTTTGCTGCGACCAAATTTAACAGATTTATGGCCCTTTGTTGATTTTTTGACTATATACTATGTGGAAATTTTGTGAACGCAACTCCTCTTAAACCGGACGGCAGATTTTGCTTAAACTTACAGGGATGAACAACCTTAAAGTGTAGATGGTAGTAAAGGAAGGAATTTTTGCTGCGACCAAATTTAACAGAATTATAGCCCTTTGTTGATTTTTTCACTATATACTATGTAGAAATTTTGTGAATGCAACTCCTCTTAAACCGGATGGCAGATTTTGCTTAAACTTCCAGGGATGAACAACCTTAATGTGTAGATGGCAGTAAAGGAAGGTATTTTTGCTGCAACCAAATTTAACAGAATTATGGCCCTTTGTTGATTTTTAGATTTCAACTTGTGGCACATGTAGTCCAAAAAATATTTGACCTAGAGTCTTAAGATTGACAGAACAGTGGTGTGTGGGGGCATCCGTGTCCTATGGACACATTTCTAGTTTTTTTTTATGTCTGACTCGGTTACACATTATATTACATGTTATTATACGTTAATATAACCGCGATCCTTTTTCGGTATTACCTGAAGTCATGAGTTAATCTGACAAAAGTTCAGATATACTTACTTCTTCCATGTAGATCTGATGACGACCGTATATGTTTCGCGATTTCCCGAGAAAATAATTATTAGCCATACAATCAAACCGGGTTTGACATAGGCATTAGAAATTGTTGAGTATGGTTAGATAAAAATGTTTGAAGTAATATTTAACAAATTTACTTGAAATAATAGTCAATTATAAATGGGCAAGATTGTTCTGCCAGTTTACCTGTCGGCTATAAGGACAACGCCTTGTTTTTCTCGAAATCGTGAAAATTACCTACTCAGTATTTGTATTCCCAGGGTTTAAATTAGAAACCACATCGCTTTCAAAATTATGAAAGCTCGCGTGAAAGGTCACCAGAAATGATATCGTATTTGGTCACGGTCAGATCTAACAGCGGAGGTTATTTAGAGCTGATTTAAATCAGATTGAGTCATGATTATCAATTGCTTTTGCCATTTAACTGCATTTCAGTTTGATATTTTTTTTATGTAATATAATGTTTAACATATATCTTTCTCCATTTCCTTACAGATGGGGATCCAGGTGGTAACTGCAAGGCCGGTAACATATGTACAGATCTACACTCTATATGTGTGAACGGAACATGTATATGCAATGACGCCAGGAATTACGTCATCAAAAACGGCATTTGTGAAAGAGACGGTAACTAAGTGCTTGTTTTATAACGGTGATAAACTTTCGAAGTTCTTTTTTATTTAGTATCCGACTTGGGGTCTGTTTAGAATATCTAGACTAAGTAGATTTTAATGAAAATGACCAATTTCAATAACACCAGATATATTAATGTTGTGAATTGATTGTAAGGATGATTTTCGGATTGTTAATTCAGTTGTCGCCCGTTTTTCTATTTCATTGATGATTCTATCTTATTTGCCTAGTATATCAATAAAATGTTTAAACAAATCTGTTCGATTTCAGTTTCATGGGATTCCTAAATAAAATTCTTAACATATCTTTCTGACAAAAGTACTAGCCTTATAAAGTTATTATTACTTGTATGTTTGTATTAAAGATATGCTATGCTCATCCTTGAATAAAATACTGTTATCACAGACATTTATTGAAATCTATGAAATTCTTGCTAATATGTCTAATTTGAATAAAAAAATAAATAAACTATGTATCGGAAGCTGCGTTCTCTATTACGAGGCAGGTAATGTTGGCCAATTCTAAAAAAAAAAAAAAAAAAAAAAAAAACAATGCCAGTTTTTTTAATGACGCTATATACATTGTATATATATATTGTAAGACTTCAAACATAACATATCTACTTTGTGTGGAGTCAAAACGTATTTTTTTATATTTACCAAGATACTGTATAGCAATTATCAATATTTTCTAATATCAAATTTCAGCATAGTATACCTTTAAGGACTTAAATATTTTACGCGTGGACATTGCATCAATGTTTTTAAAGATTGGGTACTTTCTTGAGCATTGTGTTGCTTACCATGTAACTTCGTACGTGCAGATGTCATACCCATAACATAGACAAATTTTCCCATCATTTACGTGGATAATGTCTTTAAACTTTTAAAACTTAAAAAAGTGTCCTTGTTTATCATTGAAACATATTATAATTATTTTCACATTAGATTTTATTGTCTCATCCTACGGGTAACCACTGACATAATAAACAATAAAACTAATTTTATTTATTGGAAGGTCGTCATGACTGATTTTTGTGTTCACTTATCAAATCTTAATATCATAGGAGACTTTTAAGTGGTGAACAAAACAAAAATCCGTCTCATTCGACATTATTGCTGGAATTCATTTTACTTTAATTTCTTTGTCATTATATCATAGAAATGCAACATGAGACACAATCAGCTTTGATACAGGATTGCCATTCTAGCAGCATTCTCAAATATAATATTGTAATATGAACATGGAGGCGTGATTTTCGAGCGTGTGAAACACATTAGTAAAATGACAGAAAACATCTTAATTTAACTCGGATGAAAAAGAAATCAAATGCGTATGCTGTAAAAGTTTCCTTAAGGAAAATATTCTGATCTATGTCTTCTGTTTAGTGCGCTACCACTTTTATTCTATACAATATTTCTCTTCACTTTAAGTACATACATGTACAACAATACATAATCTTTATTTTCTTGTCATGTTATTTTCGATGTTGCCGTTATATTCTTGAAATAGAATCAGGGTAAAAACGAATCAATTATACAACTAACTAACTAAATAAATATTAAATAAATAAATAAACAAAAGACTATTCTAACTACCTTCTGGTATTTTAGTAAAAAGACAGTTTGACCGTTTTTTTACAAAAAGTTGGGATCAATATAAACACATTAAAAGTTTTACAAAATTTAAAAAATAACTTCACATTCTACCCTCCTTAAATAGGTGATCATATGCCTGTTTGAATAACCTTAACCTCAACCAAGCGTCAGGATTATATCTGTGTCGGAGTTATTATAATTATATATGAGTTATCTCTCATACCATTTCTTATTTCATTTCTCCAACAGCAAAATAGACCAAACGTTCTTTTTTTGCATATAAAGAATGAACGGTATTCGACCATGTATAATCATCATTAAAATGTTCCAAAGTATGTTTTACTTTTTTCTTTATAAAACAGACAGTTACGTTAGTGGAAAATGTGACAGAAACAGTTGTAATGACGTCAATGCCGAGTGCCTTGGCGGTAAATGTGTCTGTAAGACCGGATATTCTCAAAGCAATGGTGTTTGTACTATTGGTAAGTGACAACATAATTTACATGTACCGTGATTCTTCCCTCTATAGCAATTAAAGCAAAACACGTCTGTTATTGACTGTTGGGTTTATATATGCGCCTTCATGACCTAATTATAAGCCCGCATTTCTTTCATTGACAGAAGTCGTGTAATTATTGACACCAATGTCCAAACTGGCTAGAAAATCTACATGTACATACTTCGTACTGACGGAGAAGGGAGTAACCATGATGTGTCTTTATTTATATGAAATCAAGATAATACATTAAATTGATACACATGCAATTTATTTATGTTCTACTGGCATTCTTGTTTTATTTTCCCCCAATACTTTAAGTATGTTAAATTGCGATTGGTTAGGTATGCAAGTCACAATGCAATATCAGATGGTTTGACAGTTTTAACATTTCTCTTTTAGGTTGTATTAAGAGACTCCTTGTCTTATGTGAACTTTTATTTAAAGGTTCCTTAGAAAGTCACATATGGCAGTCTCGGCTGTATAACAAATACTGCATAAACGTCATCATCTTGGAATGTTGTTTAGATTTTACAGAATGTATCAGCTCTATTCATTATATTGTTACAGGAGATACGTCATCGGTGACGTCATGTAATGGTAGTTCACCTTACAACCAGCTGGTTCCCGACTGTGACAGCGGCAGCTCACCTATTGTACTTGCAGAATATCAGCGCGTTAAACCCGCTATTGAAAACTGTCCGGGAGAAGTTGATATGTATTCCAATACTATTTTTACGACATGCTGTTCTTACGCTGATGGCGATTGTCGTCTGCATGGATCAGGAGCAGACGCTTGCACCTCCGCTGACTTGGTTGGGTCGTATACAACTTATAACGTCATTGATTATATATGTGCAGAAGGTGAACAATGGTTTTGGTATTATTGTTGTAACCATTCTTTATTCTTGCAATGAGCGCGGTATTTTTAGGAGTAAAATGAAATACAAAAATGATATCAACATTTATTTATATTCTATATATGACGTTTATTGCCAGTATTTCAAATATTGTAACATTTAGAACGTAACAGACAAATTAACAAGGAACTCACTTATTACGGTTCCTATTATTTCTTTCCCGAAAATATGAGTAGATGTTCTTTAAATGTCAGGCACAGCTTTAGGGTAAGATGGCTTTTATGTGTGCTTGAATATATTACATTTTGTACTATATAAACGTTTCTGCTGCAAACATTTTAGGTGGATTGATTGGTATGTTCAACCTTTTTGCGTCACAAAAATCAATCCTGAAACTGTCATATTTTACAATAAGCAGTTTTGTAGTTCTCATTTTATATATTTTCATGTCTATGTTACAAATTAAAAATATATTTTTAAATAACTTTTCATATGATACTTTGGCCATTCTCTGTTATTAGACGATTCCGTGATTGATGCATCAACTAACGATACCGTTTCAAACAGTCCGGTTTACGTGACAATATCAAAGGACGATGCTGGTAACACTGGGGTTGATAAATGTTCAGTAACGGCGTCATGTGACACAGATATGCTCGTTTACCTGGTGTTTTCAAACTTGATAAAGGTAGCTGTCATGAGATTTGACCGGTTCATAACGCATCAAAGATTCATATAACTTTATATATATTTTTTTTGAAAATAAAGATGGGATTGGAAATAGAATAAAAATATACAAACAAATTATTGAGTATATCCTCTGTCAAATCAAATATATATATTTGTTGTTTTATTGTTCTGAAAAATACATAGATACATTTTTGTGATAGAAACTTTGTTACTTTACGAGGGTGATGCAATCTGTTTACAGTGATTTTTTGCTCAATTTATTATTTATTATATACTTCATTACTTGTAGAATCAATATAATTCTCTTATTAATAACAATATAATTGAATTTATATCTAGTAGTTATATGTTTTCTAAGTTTATACAGATTTATTATTGTTCGATTGTGAAGAAGCTATAAACTGATAGAGATACTCTCAAATTCGTTCATGGAACAAGCTAGTACTATACAATGAGTGTAAAGTTGCTCGCTCGAGTAAATAACGACTTGCGCTTGATGGAGCTTGAACCCACGCGGCAAGAGACCATAAGATTACACGTCCGACGTGATAACCACTCGGCCATTCCGCCACACATGGTTTTCTAAGTTAATACTTGCTACCAGTATCATTTGATAAGCATAAGAGAATGTTTTATCTTATATTATTTATATTGTTGATAGGTAAACAGTCAGTGCAGTCAGACACTTCAAATAATGGAAGGAACGAATTTCCGGAACTTTGACTGTGACAACAATGTAGCCAATGCAACAACTGTAGCTTACACTGCATCATCAGGGTTCTTCTTCATCACCATTAACACATTTATGCAAGGGAGTCGGTTTGTTTTTAAAATCGAAGGTATATATTATTGCAATCGGTCATTTCTGTAAAAAGTAGTTATTAGTGAATTCCGAAAATGTAAATTAATTCATATTTAGACTCTGAAGAGGATGAACTAGTACTGTTTGATGTTTTGATATTTCTATTTGCTCATTCGAAACGTTTGTTTATTTGTCTGTATTTAACCTGGTTTAGATTTGAATAGTTAATTTAAATTTAAAACAGCTGTATTCCAAAAATGTCATTTAAAAAGATAAGGTATTCATTTTATCACCATATAGTAATTTTAAGTACTGTATCATAGCTCAAAGTTCATAGTCGTTGTGACTTATTTGTATCTATTTATCTAATATAGGGTATGTATGTATGTTCTTTTTACATTTGTTTTAAAGTTCTTCATATGTTTTGATTGAGCTAATGTAAGAAAATATTGATATGGACAATGCATATTTTTTTAGCTAAAGAGGCGACAGCAAGTGTAGATGTTGAGTGTGGAGATAAAGCAAAGTCTGAAAGTCCAACGTCATTTAAGACATGTGGCCCAGCACCTGGTAAGATATCAACTTTTTGCACAATATGTTTAGTGATATTATCTTTCCTTTAAAACAATCATAAATATAAATGCAATTTGCAAACGTGAATAGGAGCTATAATGACCTTGTCAATTGTGTATTGTGCTATTCGTGAGAGAAACTTCTTCTTCTTCTTCTTTTCTTTTTCTTCTTCGTCATAACTGCTGACATTCGTTATAGTCTGTTTAAAATACATAAGGACCACTCATGTAAACATTTGGTCAAGCGGGAAAGCAAATTACAATCACATCGATACACTGTATTGCATACTATCATTATTTCTACGTCAATCATGATTTATTATTACAGACTTTATCTTAGTCCGATTGTACGTGTAGAGAACTATAAGCGTCCACATTTGTAGACTAACCAGAATGAGTGTAATGTTTCTTGCTTAATGTAATAAAGGGCTATCACTGCACACTCTGGCTAGAAATATATAGATTGTTAGTCCGGTACGTAAACCAATCGACACCACCACATTAATTAGATTGACCTACATGTATACTCATATTTATTAATTTTAAAAGCATTGATCAAACTTATCTTAAATCAGATCTATAAAAAAGTTATCCCGCTTCATCAAGTCATATTCGCGCATATATTCAAAATTTGTATTACAATTTTTAAATTTGAGTAAAATTTCATTCAATTTTTACCTTAAAATTGCTGCTTCCATTCGATAAAGGTATCTTTTATTGCTATTATGGGATCATGCTAATTTCGAATTGCACATAATGTTCAATATATGTTCCGTAAAAAGGATCCTTACAGGTGAGTATTAAAGTAGGTGTAATGTATTAACTACGGAAACGCTTAAAGTAATCAGTCGGATATTCATTAGAAATTAAATCAATGTCACATCAATAGCTTGAACTTCCGCATCAAGTCAAAACTTATCTAAAATATTTCAAATGCTATTACAAATTATATGTAAAGAATTTATTTATAAATAACTGCAAAATACTAAAAATAGTTACATTGTCAAGCTGATAAATGCTGACATGCGCAGTTGTTTCAATTATGTCTGTTCTAAAACACTGTCTTATCTAACCAAATGTATCATCTCTAATCAACATTCTGTATGTAGGCCGTCTACACGGTTACTGTTCAGATGACATCATATGTATAGACCCGCACACGACTTGCAAAAGTGGAGTGTGTGTATGCCAAGACGGATACAGTATTTCCAATTTGAAATGTCAAAAAACCGGTACAATTTTGAGAGTGATTGCTTGCTTGTATAACAAGGGATATGGAAACACTTATCGTTGTTTGTAAAACTAAAGTTGTGTTGGTAATTTGTCTTTGTGTGAAACAAAGGGGGCTCTCTCGGTTTGTTGTCATCTACCCTCTCTATATATCACAAGGGATACAGGTCCAAATTTTCCACATATTTTAATGTAAAATAAAACATATTGCATCGCACTTTTCTTATTCATATTAGGAAAAAGATGTCTAATGTTTTAGCTCAAATATTTTGAAAAAACAATTAGAGCTATCATGATCACTGGGTCGTCGCCATTAACTTTAAACTTGACATAATGGAGATATGTAAGGCAATGTCCGTTTATATTCTTTATATTTCGAAAGCTATGTTTGGAGAAATGTCCATTTTAAAATTAAGTTTTGTTAACATTTCTTATGAAGTAGTATCATTTTAAACAAACAAAGGTATCAATACTAAACTTGATTATCATAGCTAGGCGCAGTTGTAAAGTTTTTTTGTTAAAATTGGCTGAAAATTTAAATGGATCAAATATAATGAACTAGTATACATTCTTAGCATACTTTAGGGTTATATACACATGTAAAACAAGCCATCTACAATATCTCGTGTAATAATTTGACAGATGAAATTATGATAATAGCATTGTGAGCTTTCTGTTCCCTTATTTCGGAAGAAGGTTTACACATACGTGAATAATCAATCTAGTGAGCTGTTTAATCACATCATTACAGTAGCGAATAATTAAGACTTTTCAATGAAAATTAAAAGTGTAAATGTTGTTAACAAAACGAAAGTTGGATATGGAAAACCTAACTAAGTTTATACATAATTCATTTGGTTTAAACATATTTATTTTTTATCAAGTTACAATATTACACATCAAACACAAAATTTATACAAAATCATGATAAAATGGATTGAATTGGAAGCTCAGAGCTTATTGTAATTCTCACCACTTTTAGTAAGACATCGGTACAGATTTTGGCGATACAGATGATTTAATAAATTGTTACATTCAAAACATTATTATAAGAAAATAAGACAAAATTAGAACAAAAAGAAATCGAGATAAAAACATAAAGAAGTGTTAAGAAGTTTAAATTAGGATAAATTAAAATTAGGGACTTGATCATGACGGGGTTTGAACCGTCAAACCAAAACTTGTATCCCTTGTTGTAAAATATATGGTGTCAAAGGAAACTAGAGAGCACCAAAATGCTATTGAATAAACTCTTATTTTGAAGTTGAAAACCAATGCTTAGACTATAATATATAACTGAGATCATGGTTTTGGATACACATTCGAACGCTATTATTGCAAATTTTTGTTTTGTTTGCTTCTTTGCTGAATTTTTGTCATGTGTATTGCAATAACCCTGAATAATTCTGCATAATCATCAAATATATATTTTCTTTTTGTAAATTTAATCAGATCTTTTTCTTATGATATATCTATGCGTATACATACATGTATTTGAGTTAGTTAACTTGAGAAGTTTGGATATATTCTTTAGAACTGAAATGAGATATATTTTTGTTTGGAATGAACATCAACTCTTGCTTTGTCAGGTTTGCATGCTGTTTTTAGATTATACGCTGTTTTTTCACGTCATTATTGGTCTCTATGACTATTCAAATACACTCCTGTAAGATTGTTCAACATGACATTATTGTTATGTTTGTGGTATATTTTGGTTTCAACAATTTGGCTTTTCGATTTGGGTGGTTTCAGTATTCCTAATTGAATAGTGTTGAATCACCCTTAAGATATGTTGTCTGCTTTTTAAATTTGTCTTTTGACGTCTTATCTCTGATATGAAGGCTTCATAACCTCTGACCCCCTTGCAATTTTCTTCAGTTCCTCCCTTTGTTTTCTCGTCTAGGGCACACACATTCTATTACGTGGGACCATACACCGCTTTTCATGAAATGGCACGGAAGTGTCACATTGAAGGTTCTATGATATCCGCCATATGAACACATCTGCGGATGTTTCTAAATTCAAAATTTCGCCATTTCATGTTAAATGTTGAATTCTGCTTAAACCAATGCTAGGGGACGTGAACGGTAGTTTGCACATGACAGTACTGTCCATGAACAGGCTCAATCAAACCGAGCCTGGAATTTTTTATTTTCAATTTTGCCGTGTTGGACTTTCTTTAAGGGTTCTTATTGTCTCTATTCTTAATGAATATAGTATTGCATTGACATGTACTTAATTGTAAAACGTTTATACTAGTTAAATATTACTTCAGAAAAGCACTTATGACTTATGTACATATAACGAATAGATAACAAATATGAACTCATTAGCCCTTTCTTCTCTGAATATCTTGAATAGACCTGTCCATCTGTCAATCTGGACAGACCCATTCATCCCTCTTTTTGGGGATTGTCGATGACCAGACGCGCCGGCTTTTCTTTGACTGGTTGCATTGCTAGTATCAGATACCGTAAGCAGGCTAAAGAGTTAACGAAATTAATTGCTTGTATATTATTTTAGAAAAAGAATTCCAGTCCTACCCTGTTATATGTTGTGTCCAGTCTTGATATAATTTCTCGAAGCGGACCCAAATCAATCTAACATAAGCTGAAAGGTTGTTTCGCAATTAAACTTAAGACATTTTTCAACTGTTATTTGAAATCACCAAGTTGTACCAATTATTTCCATTCATTCTTATAAACATTTATATATAATTCAATTATCAAGGTTCACCATACTTTGTTTCTTTAATAATTTATTCCTGATGAAATTGCTTGGTTGAAGTACAAATGAATATGTTTAATATAAACGACGATATTAAAATAGACTAGTTACATCCGCCAGTTAGGATGGAGAATTTACTCTTTTATCTTACTTTATGAAATTTATTGTAATCATTAATATTTTCTATTTTAAATAAACTGTGAGATACAGATGTTTTATAGAAACTACTTAACCTACCCTGAATTCTTAATTAAACAAATATTGTCAGATCGAATGTTATCTTGAATTTCATGTAAGTTACAAGAAAACTTTTCAATATTAACTTTATTTAAATGTCAATGATGACGTGGTTTTTCTTTAGTTACATTTTTGTAAGATTAACACTTACTTTAATTGTTTCAGCTACTGAAGATACCACAGGAAAAAGTAAGAAATGTTTGACCTCCTTATATACTTTTATATTAATACTATTTGTATTTATTAACAAAAATATCATATATTATGAAAACTTGATACTTTCTATAATAACAATCTTTTCTTATTGTAAAATAACGAAGCTACTCATCATATGGTCAGAATAGACAATATAGCCAAGTTTCAGATGTTACCAAATTTCAGATTTACATATCTCTTTTAACCGCGGCTGGTTTGAATAACCGATCTTTCGAACAAATTACCACAGTTCCTGCGAGTTCGAACGAACAAAGGTCGGCTGCACATATATAGTCACGATAACTATGAATTCGCTAAAACAACCATTCGCGAAAAAAATGGCGAAAGTTAATCTCTGGCAAATAAAAGCAGTTTTAGAGTTTTAAAAAAGTTAAAAAAAAAAAGTTAAAAAAAAAATCTTCACAAAATGTTTATCACTCTCTCAGCAACAACCGAAATATTTTTCAACCAAAGAGCCTGGCTTTGTAGAGAGATTGCTCTTTATTGTCTATCATACACTTGCACTTTTTATATTGAAACTTTGCATTTTTTTACATTGAAACTATAATCCCATTTAAATGCCTATTGTAGTTTGTAGATAAGTAAGGACATGAACCCCTATAAAAAAGAACATTCTCTTAGTGTCATTCTTTTCTTTATCTGTAGCACAATATATGAACATTTTGTCATTCTTTTTACAGCGGCGATGCTGGCAGTTATCATACCAATTGCGATTCTCGTTGCCATAGGAATAGCCGCTGTACTATTCTGGATCTTCAAAGACAAAATAAGAAAGAGACTTTGTCCGAAACATGTTAGTATTTTTGATTTTATCTCTTTTGAAAAATCTTTTCTATGTAATTTATGAGATATACATTACCAGGCCCAGAAGATATATTATGCTACTCATTTGTAACGATACTTTTTATTGGATGACCGTGATGTTTATATTATCTATTTGCACCAATGCTGTCAATTCATAAAGAAATTTCTTTTTTTCCAGTTTTTTTTTGCAGAATTTATTTAATTATAAACACACCATCATGTTATGGTATAAAACATATTTAGCATACAACAATTTTATAATTGGTTCCGTTCTAAAACTTGTTAAACCTATTAAAATTGTTTGAGGGATAAAATATAACATGTCTTCAGTAACAATATAGCAGATTGTTAATTCTTTAAGATACTCAATTGTGTATTTAGAGGAAAAAATTAAAACCATTATCGTGTATATATTGTTTTGTCTATGCAGATATTTAATAATCAGTCTTATTACATATAAAGCTTAGAATTAGAGAATGTTTCAAAGTGCTTTATGAAGTTATCTTGACATTTTAGTTAAGTCACATGTTCATATAAGATCTTTGGTAATATTGAGACTTTAACATTTCATTAAATACAGACAGAAACATAATTAGAAAACATGTGCCGCTCAAAAGTCTAAGTACCAAGTGATTACAATTATGAAAATTAGCTATCTACTACCCACATATTGCTAATAAGACAAATGCGTTATTTTAAAAACCTTACAAATTTGCTCCAAAGCCCAGCAGTACTGAAACAATCAAAACAAAGGTAATATAAACCTAAAAATATCTCTCAAAAATCAAATTTAAATGTCATGACGTATAATTTAAGTTACTTTTAGTATTTGAATTTAAGATCAAAACTATTAAAATAGCTTAAAGTAGACAGTTATTTAATATCTGTCTTAATAACATTGTTTGCTCGGCTTTATTTTGTGAACATCCAATTGTTTAGCGTTTGTAATAACGTATAAAAATTAAAAATATCCCGGAGATTTAGTATACGGATTTTTCAATGAAATTCTTCGTCTAGAAGCTAGGATTTTCTGGAATCTTTAGTTCATGTGTTAAAGACTTGGAAATTTAAGCATGCAAAAATCTTCACTCTTTTTCAATTTTTCTCAAATAGGTCCCTTTGTTTCTTTCAATTATGCTCAGCTGCTCCATGGAGAGCAATCATCTTCATAATATAAAATGATGACATTAATATCAATGAGCCTTAGTCAGATGATTTATCTGGTTAGGTAAATAGTTACTTATTTTACAGGAGCCAGCGGCACCAATCAAACCAGTCGTTGAAGGGCCAAACCCTATGAATGTAAAATACACCGGTAGCGGCGTCCCCTCCGATGTGAAAGTACCAAAAGCTATGCCTCCACCTTGGTTGAATACTGGTTGGTCTCCGTCTAACGAAAAGTTCAGTGGAAATCTACCTAATGAGCACAATCCGAGAAACAAATTGCCACCAATTATTCGCCCACCAGGTGTAGCCGGTACACCAATGAATATGAAATATTCTGGAAAATTACCGAAAGGATCGAATACAGGAAATATGGTAGATTACCTTCTAAAAGAAGAGTTGGAAATGAACAACAACTTGAACAAGGCAAGATCTTAATGTGACTTTCCTTTTAACTACTCTTATCTACCACGATTTTATCAAAATTTGTTTACTCTTACAAAAATGAAAATCTGCGTTTACTTTGACATTCTGTCCGTTAGATTTATTTGGTGTATTGTGTTGTGAAGTTGTAAGTTATTTCATTTTTAAAAGTAATTTGGGATAAAAGAAGAGAAAAATGAACTTGACACAAGGTTTTCAATTATGAAAAAGGAAGTCCGTTTATGTTTTAGTTTCGCTTTAGTTTGCAAGTGTTTGACTATAACTGAATAATGTTATTTGCGTTATTGACTGTCTTTCATGAAGAAAATGATAACAAAAATTATGAAAATATTATAAATACATCTTTCAATTGATATTCCTTTTTGATCCGCCGTTTAGCGTTTCATTCAACCACCCAAGTTCTGTTCATTCCTTAATAGGATAATTGCTCAAATTCAATATAACGCAATTCTGTTTAAACACCACATAATCCATTTGCAATTAACACACAAACCTATTCCATAAAACATAATTCTATTTCAATACAACACAAACCAATTAAAATGCAACACAATTCTTTTGGTTACGCTAAATAGTTATAAATAAATATTATTTTCATTTTTGTAACTTTGTGATATTATTCCTCTTATTACGAATGCCATATAGATTACCCGTATAGTGTTGAGAGTCAATTTGTGAAATTTACCGTTCTACATATATCTAAAAGCGCTTCCTGGCAACAAATTGAGTGCCATATGACAAAACAATACTTGATTCTTTTTTATTTCATTACAAATATGATAATTACATATATTATGCTTTTTTTCTGATGAAGTTAAGTTCATTTGACGTATACTTTATTCAATTGTACATTTTTCAATCCTTGTAACTATTACAGAAAAAGCCAAAAACAAAAAAGAATAGAAACAGTGTAAGTCCAACAGATATATCACCGGACACTACAGGAGAAAGATCAGGAAGCAAAAAATCTAAAAAGTTTAAGAAGGCATTACTTGGAATCAAAGCAAAACAAGGTTTCGAATTGCCTCGTCAACAGAATTATTCACAAGAAGGTGTTTTCACACCAAATCAAGATTTTTACAGGTACCCTAATGGAATGCATGCAGTGAATGGAACACCAAATTTCAGCCAAACTGTTTCTGGGCCGTTTATGTCGCCAAATGGACATTTACCCCCTCTAAATAACAGTATAGGTTCAAGTTCACTTTATAATGGACAACCTAACATAAAGACATTTGACCCGCGAGCCTCCTGGAGAACTGTTGGGACGGTTGCTTCTGTAGCTGTTCAGCCGAAGATTAGAAGACCTTCGGTAATAGACATTGCCTCAGTTGACGACCCTTTCGATGTTGAACACACTGAGCTTGACAGTAACTGACATGATTATATACTCTTCTACACCTCATGAATCTAAACTGAAAAAATCATATTACCGTATGTCGTGAAGAAAAAGAAAACGATATAATAAGATATGAAAACTATGTAATCCATAAATTATAGATTTGTTATGCACTATTGCTATATGTTTGAGAAAACATAGAGGATAAATCATATAAAGTCAGCAAAATAATCAAACAATTATTGAGAATAAGGCGCACCTGTGCACATATGATTATATAAGACTGATACATGTCTGTTATCTGTGATTGTTTTAAATTATTTTCTCATCTGAAGTCCCTTGTCTAATAAGTAATGAAAATGAATTTAACTTGGTTATACGCAGCAAGATAGTGCATTGTTTAAACATTTTATTAGATGAAACAACTTTCAGCTATTGATCAATAAAATATGTTTGAGTAACTTTATTTATGTTATATGACAGGAAAGAATGTCTTTTTTCTGGATTTTATTTAAGTTGTAAGTATAGGTTAGTGTTTAAAAATATGTATTAACAAAAATAATTGGTCAAGCCTGCCGCAGGCAGGCGACCAATTATTTTTGTTAATGCATATTATTAAACATTAACCTATTTAATGATCAACATTATTTTTTCAACCAAAAACAAGGCATTTCACTAAATCACAGATATCTCCGCCTTTTCGCTCTACAGGATGTCTACACCTTGTCAAGTTTCTAACATTTCACATTTAGAAAAGCTAAATATTTGCCCTATCAACAAATAATCAGGCACATTTTTTACTGAAATGTCACAGAATTTATACTTTTAGACTATCATGTCTGTAAAAAAACAGCAAGGAAATGATGCAATTAAGTTAAAACAATGGAGTTAATGAAATATGTACATCCTTTATAAATAAATGGAAAACGTGAGAAAAAACATAAAATTAATAATATATACAAATTCGTTATTAGCTTTAAGTTATTCACTAATATTTAAAATCTCTATTGATTTGCTCATTTGAAAAACAGTTTCAATCTAGGTTTACAGGTGGAGGGGGTCCATTTATTCTTAATATCAAGGATTGTTAATGCAGTTCATTCCATTCAACTGAAAGAAAATTATGTTTTTGTTACTTTTTCTAGAAAAAAAGAAGTTTAAAACAGTCAGCAATTTATAACAGACATTTTTCTTAGAAAAAAAGTTCCTATGTAATCATTTGTCTCTGCATGCTCCACATGTATTATCTACGTTTTACATTAATTGATTGTTTCCTCACATTTAGAAACATCTGACCTTGCTTAATTGTTTTTTACGTTGGCATTGTTTTGATAACCTAGATATTTCACAATTCAGAGTGCAAATCACACCTCTAACTCCTCCCTTATATAATGCATTATTGAAATTTGTGAGACTGATTAGACGACAGATTAACTAAATTCTATTTAGTTAGTACACATTAACCAAAGTTAGGCTTAGCAGAAATTTGAAAAATACTACAATGTGATTGGACAAAAATAATGTTGATCATTAAGAAACCTTGATAGTCACATTACTACTTTCTTCACAGACACTTTTTTATCTGCCAATATCTTTGAAATTAATTTGTAGCACCGAGTCTGAATAAAGATTTGTCTATTTGTCCTCTTACTTTGTCACAAGTCAGAGATTGCCAGGGTGGGTAATTCTATCATCAAAATAACTATTTTACAAAAAAGACCTTTTACATTTATATACACATTTATTTATACAATAAAATTCAATACATTCACTTAAATAATATAATTTTATCAAATAGAAAAGTACTTATTTGATAGTTATGAAGTTTTAATTTCACTAAAGTAATTAAGAAATTTTAATTATTGTCACTGGAAAATATACTTAGAAAAACATATCAAAACACACATATTGTCTCTATCGTTCATTCCACTTAACAGTCTATATTGCCGTCCAAAACACTATTTATAATGCCACACGAAACTGGTCCGACCTTAAAAAGGTCAATATTCACACTAACTTTGAAAGTCAATCAGACCGACCATGTAAGGTCATAATAATAAATGTTACCTCCGACCTATAAAGGTCAATTATTGTAATAAAAAAATGTCACCTCCGACCAACAAAGGTCAATGTAGAACAGCAAAATAAAAGGTAACTATTCTGCGTAGATGATACAATAAATGTTGACCCACTCTCAGCATAATACACAATTGTGTGTGGTATTCAGTTGCTGGTACTTCACGCTAATAAAACCATAGCATCATGCACGCTTTTGACATTGATATGTCCTTCAACACCATGACCTATCAATGAAGACATTTTCTTACTAGATATTTCACACACATTAAATTTGAGTAGTAATAAAATGTATGAAAGAAAAGTATAGGAAAATTAATCCATATTTACAATTTAACTTTTTAAACTTATTCAAGATAACAACTTTACTTTTATCAAATAAGTTTCCATGTACAAAGGAATTCAATGAAAAACATTTACAATTTGCAAATAATTAAATATTTCACTTATCCTGATATCTAGGTAGACAGTCACTGTTAAATAAAGCTTGTCACTAAAATGGCTTTATAAAATGAACACCATTTTCATTAAATCTAAATAATGAATTCTGCCAAGCTCTAACATCATAATTCTTTATAAAACTGAGCAAAACTGACTGAGTTTAAACCTATATGAAATATAGATGACAGTACATTTTTAACACATTGGCCAGCTAACTAATACAGGTAAGTGTTCACTTAGGTATGAAGAAAAATATTAACACTGGTCAGTATTACTAGAAACAGGTTTAAAAGAGATAATATTTAAAAATAGATAAAATAAAATTGATTTTGTGACATACTTATTTGTAAATAAACCACATGTACCTTTCATGTTGGTTTTTCGTGGCCTCCAGAAGAAAATATGAAATGTAAATTAATTTATCTTTTTATGATGACTTGGTGAGCATGGCCCTCATTGTCCACCTTGTTGTCGGAAATGTGCAAAATACATTGAAAACATATTTCAGTATTAAATTGTGTTAATCCAATTGCTGTACTAGTATATACAAAGACATTCTATATAGTTCTAAGTACTGCTTAAAAAAACAACAAACGATTATACATAGTATCTGTAACAGACTGGATACTTGCAAGTATCTAAAATTATATTTAATATTACACATGGAGATGCATTTTCGTAAAAATGTATAGATTTAATCAATGAAATGTTGAAATAAATGTAACCAAAGCTTGTTTGTCAATGTGTTGATCTCGATTTTTATATTTTCAATTATGAACATGTCTGTCTCGTTTTATAAAATCTATTGTTATTGGCTGATAGCCTGATAAGGTTGCAATACACGGCATTATTCTATGAAAGAAGTATTTTATGTTTGAATATCTTTAAGCATACATTATGAAACATTTTAAGTGTTTTGTACTCTTTTAACTATTTAATGAAAAAGTATTTTCTATATTTTGTTATAATAAAAATGTGCTTGTATTATCATCAGTAACACCATTTGCCAATAACAGTTTGAATATAGAACTACAAAATGTCAAATACCAGTCTAAAATGTCAGTCATGTAGCTCGCTTATTAGTTTGTTCCTTCTTTTCAACGTGTATAAACGTATTAATTTCTTTTTAACTTGTACCATATTTTGAAGTACTTAAAGGTCATTAATACCTATGTTACTATAGAGAGTAACAAAATCTAGGGCATTTCAGGGCCATTATCGCAAGATCTAGGTCATTATGCAATTTTGGCCGCCTTGCTACTCGGCATTATGTTTCCATAATGGGCGAGTGAATGAGCGCACGCATAGAATGACGTCATCAACTCTCAGCGACTTTCAAGATGGCTGCTGACGTTGAATGAACTAAAGTCACTTGCACACAGAATTTTAAGTTTAAATGACGTAATCAATCGCAATCAACAAAGCTAAACATTGAATATTTATAAACTCAAGAAAAGAATACAATAACTCATTCCAAGACAAAACATGACCCTCAGAACTTCCAAAAATGATTTCAGTTTGACGGTAGACTATTTAGATGTTGACATTGATCGTCTCAGAAACCGTTCTTGAAGGCACAAAAGTTCATAAAAGTCTTATCACAAAAAATATAAAGAGTATTTATCGATATAAACAACAATAAAACAACATTGTCTCATATTTATTTTGTTTTTTCATGTTTTCAAAGTAAATCGAAGAGTTAAACTGAATGATAGATATTTGTTTACATTGACAACTGTCCGTTTCTTAGAAAGGGCGACCACCAGTATTAGCGGCGATGTCTAAATGCCGTATTTCGGACATAGGTATTAAAGACTTTAATACTTGGTTGCTGCTCGCCATTATGCGATAATGGCCCTCGAGTCCATAATGTCCTTCGGGCCTGCGGCCCTCAGGCCATTATGCACATCTTCAGGCCATTATCGCATAATGGCGAGCAGCAACCAAGTATTAACCTCTAAATGTTGCCTCAGAAATGCTATTAATTTCAGTTCTTAAAAACATTGTATTTGTGGTTTCTCGTTACAGTTTCTACAAAATATTTATAATTATTTTCATTACTATTTTCTTTTCCTTTTTCTCTGTTGGCAAATGTTATTATTATATTCGACCAGTATTTTGTATGGAAGTCAAAATACTATTTTTGTTCTAATTAAGGCATAACAAACCCAGATTCATGCCAGTTTTAATAAAGTGGATTGATTTATGACATAACCTAGTTATACTATGAATAATTGTGTTGAACATATTTAGTAACATACTTGACAATAAACCACTTACAATTTATAAATATATAAGTGTTGTTGATATGTGTGAGATGCTTGATCCAATAACATATTTATATGAGATAATAAATTTTTCTAGATCAATATAATATTAATCATCAAATAAATGTACATACCCATTCACTTAATACTGGATCAATTTTTATTTTCAAGAATATAATATGTTGTAATAATATAAAAAATGATAGATTTCTATTGTTGATCGCAAAAGTTGAAAAGCAAATTGAAATTGTGCCTATGGTAGACCCAATCCAGTTGAACAAGTGCATGTTCAATGTACATGTATATATATTGTCAAGTTTACAAAACCTTTGATATTTACTTTCCACAGAAATATTGCATTCAAATACGCTGACATAACCAAAAAATCATATTTTCATAAAAGATATATTAAGCCTCTGTTTACGGTAATATGCTACCCTTACTGTAATATAAAGTTATCCTTGTTAAAGCTACGCATTTATTGCAGTCATGAAAACCTTCCACTTATCCTCTCAATTTTGTTAAAAGTTAAGATTTTTGCTGCTTTATGTTTTCGCTTAAAATCATTATAGATGTGTTTAAAAGTTTTATATTGATAGACATGTTCCTTACAATAAGTGGGATAGATTATTTATTAATTTATGATAACTTGTTGTTTTAATAGTTTTTGTTAACAATAAAGTATCCATATTAAAACTAGTTATTTCATTTTTTCTGATCACGTTAAATGTCTTTTAAAAAAGATGATTCATTATAGAAATTATTATTATTGGAAACAAAAAGGAGTAAGGCTCATCCTATAATTATTCAATGAAACAAATGGTTTACGAAATAACAAATGCATAAGGGCTGCACCTATGCTCTTACAACATAAGTGATCAGTTCTGCTTGTCAACTCAACACTGTTTATGTCCTAAGGCGACATTCCAGCCCTACTGATTTTGATCAGGTGTCTTTCCGTGTAATAAGTATTACCACCGATGTTTCGTTAGCTAGCTCGACAGCTTTCTGACATGAAAGTATCCAAAGTCCCTGACAGGATTTGAACCCAAAGCAAACAAGTTAAACATCGGAAATAAAATAGTTTTTTCGGCTATGGACAAGCCATTCTTCAACCCCTTGTTGAAACAATACGCGAACCCCACTATGATGTTAAGTAAACTAATATTTTGAAGTTGAAAACCAATGTTTAGGTTCTGATGTACAAAATTGCGATCAAGGTTTTTGGTACACCTGAATTCTATTAGTGCAATTATTGTTTTGTTTTATGTTTTTGCTGAAATTGAATTCTTGAGTCTTCCTATAACCCCGTTCTATATAATTGTGCATAATTATCAAATATATTGTTTTCCAAATTTAATCATTTTTTATCTATTTTAATATATCTATGCGGATAACATATTTGAGTTAGTTAACTGTGAGGAGTTTGGATGTTTTCTTTAGAACTGAAATGAAATATATTTCTGTTCATGATGAACATCAAATCTTGCCAACTTTGTCAGTTGTTTTGCATTTGGGTTTTAGATGACACGAATTTTTGCACATCATAAATTTGTCTCATTGACTCTTTAAAAAACGCCCATGTGTTTTCTAAACATGTAAAGTAAAGTTGTAAACAGTTAATACTAGTACAATATTATTTCAGTAAATCACTTTTGACGAATGTGCATCTAATGAATAGATAATTTGAACTCATTAACCATTTCAACCATCTTGAATGGACTTGTACATTTTTTAATTTTGACAGACCCATTCATCACTTGTTTGGGGACTTACTTGGGGTCAGTGATGATGACCAGACGCGCGGGGTGATCTTTGCCTGCACTTGTTTGCATGGGTAGTATCAGTGACCGTAAGCAGGGTAAAGGGGTAATTAAATGAATTGCTTGTATATTATTTTTAGAAGAGAATTTCAATCCTTTTCTCTTAAGTACAGTAATGTGATGATTTCTCGTAGCGGATTTATAAGATTTTAAGCTGAAAGGATGTTTCGCAATGAAACATAAGATATTTTTTTTCAATTGTTATTTGGAACCAATTATTCCCATTCATTCTTACCAGCATTTATATATGCCAATTATCAAGGTTAACAATATTTTGTTTGTTTAAATATCTTATAGGAGATCAAATTACTTTGTTTAGGTACAAACGAATATATTTAATATAATCGATGATAACGGAAATAGATTAGTTACCGCCAGTGATGATTGAGGATTTTCTTTTAAAATTTATTTTAGTTATTAATGTGTAATAGTTTAAGGTGACAACGGAGTCAATTATTACTGAAAGTACCTAAAATGAGATTTTTTGCTTAGTAGATTTATCAACCTTTTCTGAACACATTCGTGATTTAATTTTGAAAGCAGTTAGTCCAAAAAATGTGCTTTTTAACGTTATAAAACGGTACCTGTACCATTTTTATCTGCTATTCGCGTAGCCTGTCAATTATCGATAACGCTCCACCCCCTGTTGAGGCATCAATGAGGGAAATCGGTAGTTCCATATATGCGTGAATTACCAGTCCATACTGGCCCATACTACTCGTATTTGTTTAAGTTCATGTTTCGTACAAATACCGTGCATCTTTTATGGATATTGTCTTTTATTAAGCCTTTTTATAAAATAAGAAATTGTCGGCCAATGTACGTAACATAATGTATGAAACATAAATAATTAAGCATAGCGGCAAATCGCACGACCGCTAAATATCCATAATGTGTGAAAATAATTTGTCTGTCCCGCTTAATCTGATAGAAATTACATTGAGTTTATGGACTTATGCACGGATTCAAGGGCTTGCTTTACATTCAACCTCATTTTTAACACTGTCAAGTAAAACAGCAACAAAAACAGACAACATTTTTTTATGTGAACGCCTATCTGACTTGTGGTAAGGTGTCCCTGACAAATTTCTAAACCATTTTAGGTTGTCTAAGGATTTCTCCATGAATCAATAAAAAAAGGTATTAAAATATATTATCAGTAAATGCTTTGAATAAATTGTTCGCCAGTAAATCGAACACAGTACTAATAAACCTTGGACAAAGTATGGATTTTATTGTATATCCCAGTAGAAACTGGATATCTATGCCGTGCATAGATGATACTTATATTCATGATAATAGAAGTCAAGAAGGTCAGATCATAATTATCGAGTAATACCTTTTATTTCTATTAAAATATGTGAACCATTCATATCAATTTGGAGGAAAAAATAGATAATATCCCGTTCTTATTTGTACATCTACCATGGACATTAAAAGACCGTCAGAAGCTCAGTTTTTTGTAATTTTAATTTATATTTTAACGGAATTTTATACACGAATACAAAGACAGAGTGACCCTGGTATAATATAATAGTAATGCTGATGATGATCATAATATACTTCAAAAGTGAAACAATTAAATACCCCGATAGCGGTGCGCAAATACGTTCCATTTCCCCTACCGAGTGCCTCAAATTTTACCGAAAGTCACGTGACATGTGCGAGACGGTAAATACCGTTAAGATTTGAAGAAATTTCTGTTATAAACTGATATTTATCAGCAATTTTTTAAGAGCCAGCCCGCATAGCTCAATCGGTTAGAGCGCGA